TGGTACCCTTTAATCCAATGATAACAATGTTGACACAGAACAGGTAGGTCGTGTTGACTAATTGGGGCGATGTGTTGAAATTGCTTCCGTGTAATGGCGGTAAACATAAGCAAAAATCAAGCACCTTCCTCATGCACGACGTGGGGCTTACGAGGAAAAAAGGGAGTTGGGGTTTGCAACATTTCGCACCACGACCTACACCGACGCTAGAGACAAAAAAAAAAAAACAGAGAAACGAACGATCTTCTTCAATTTCCTCTCGCCAAAATAGGCAAATCCCTAGGGTTAGAAAGGATTTTAACCTAACCCTGATTCCATGCACGAAAGGTCTTGAATCGAGATCAAAAGGTCAAAAACCCGAATGCATTCTTCAAATAAGGTTTGGGATTTTTAGTACATGTTGGGCTGTGGTTCATACTTTCCATCGACAAGAAAGCATGGGGTCCCGCTCTCTTATGAGCGGGTAGAGATCGGGGGGGCCGCCCCGGTGGGGGTTGCAGGGGGCAGCGCCCCTGTGATCAGAAGACTTTTATAGTTTGAGCTCGTATTTTGTTGGTAGTTTGAGCTTAAGCTCATGAATAGCTACTGGAAGCATATATATATTTTCTCTTTCTCTTGTAATTGAGAGTGATGTAACAGAGAGGTGGGATGTGCTAATTATAGTGAAATCCTCTATTGGATATAACCCTAGTTTAACGGTAAATTAAGATAAAACCTTGTGTCTCGCTTTTACTTTCTATTTCGTTGTGTTTGTGCCTCCAATCCTAACAGTACCCATTTTCTCCACCAGAAATATGGATAACTTTGGTTAAGCCATATGAGCTCAGTTACTGATATCATTCAGTGCTTTTATTTTGATTTTTGTATGGCGTACTGGCTTTTGTCATTGCACAAGCTGGTTCAATCCCTTCCATCAGCAGATGCATCTTTTCGTGTGTACACCACATCTGCTAAGAGCTTTTCAGGGTTTCTTAATGCAACTCTCATTTTAATGACAGGTTCCATTGGGAATTCATGTACATACTTGAATCTCGAGTAGCAGATGAAAGCAATCTTAAAAAAAAAAAAAAACAGAGAGAAAGAGATTTTTGGTGATACTCTCAATATGTGCCTTGGGCCACTACTTCTCCTTTTAGTTTCTTGAGAAAGGCCAAGACTGCTACTTTTAGTTCATCCTAGTCCTAGACACTAGTGGTTATTGGTTAATAATAGAAAGTTTATGAGACATTCGCCTATATATGCAATACATGCATTTTATGTCCTCACAAATCATTAAATGACGTGGATCCTACTAGCTTTTAACATAGGACGACTCAAAATGACTCGGGGTACACATAACCTATCGTGAAATAATATTGAAGTTAACGGATCTTGCAATTCAAGTCTAACTCGAGAAGAAAAAATTACCAGAGAAGTTAATGAGAAACAATGAGGATGCTAGAGATTTATGTGATTCGATCCGACTGTCAATATATACTATGTGGGAAGAGCCAATGCAAAGTAATCCACTATGAATCCGGATAATTATAGAGTCGCAATCGCTCCAACAGTTTCTAATCCTAAATTACACCAAAAGTAAAATCCATAAATGTTATCTCACAATCTCTCACAGAAAACTCAAATCCGAAAACTCATAGAAAGAAAACCCCAACACTCATCTTGTTTTCTCTAATTTGTAATAATTGAGCAGAATTCTGTTTTTACTTGTTCTTGAATGACTTGTCGACTTAAACTAGGATACCTTGATGTTCTACCTTTTCATCTTTGATCCAAGATCACATTCCACCAAAATGCTTGGAGATAAAGTACAAGTCAAAAGACATTCAAAATATCGGCCTGACTTCTACCGGGTTGGGTTTCATATATAAACTCAAACTCATGATAAAATTTAACAATTCTTTAGCTTAGCACGATGTTTGTAGCCAAGTCATGGTGTTTATCATCTATGGCGGCTCTCCAAACGTCTCGACAGGCACCCAACTATCACATACGTCTTTCAAGCCCAAATTGAGCTTGTACTTGTCTAGAAGAATGAACTCAATCCACATGTCCGTAGGATTCTCTGTCGGAAGAATTTTTCCACAGTCACATCTTCTCCTGACATGTTATTTTTGACACAGAAATATTGGTCACCAATGATCTTGATTCTCCAGGAATATCTTTGGCTTTCACTGAACATAGCATTGGTCCGATGTCCCATACCAACATCACAAACCAAATCCTCACACCGTCTCTTCAAACCCTTCCATTGTTACCATGTTTCTGCGTCGATGAAACCACTGTGTCTCTTAATAACTTTTCGAACTCACAACACATGTTACAGAAGTAAAGGTAGAATTACTCATAAGTTGACCATTCGTCAAGTTCCTGTGTGACCCGGGTTTGCAAACCCAATTATTACCACACTATCTAAACTGCATCTTCTGAGACATACCTCAATGTTTGTCAACCCCAACAAAACCAGGAGGATCCACTTCAAAGCATCACAATGTACACCTATATAAACTGTTTACATTCTCCTGACTGCACGTGAAAGATAAGGTACGGTACTATCCACATCATAATCAAACAACCCACAGTAGTAGCATGTAAAGAATGGGACAAATGCTTTAACTTCCGTCCAAGTACACCAAGACAATCTAAACAACTTATAATATGCGGCAAGTTGGGTTACTTACAAAATTTCTCAATTCTATGATGAAGCACCTCTAGGCTTTCCTCACATAACTCTTTTAAGTCACTCACAACATTCTAGCAATCTTTGCTCTCTATATCTCCATACTCGGAATTGTTGTAACTACACCCACATTATATATCTCATTATCTTCTTACATAGCCTTTGCGTTGCCTCAACACGTTTTTAATTCTATATCCATAATATATTTACTAACCTTGCCAATCAAATAAGATGCAAATTGCAATTACAATAAGATTTTCAAGAGTCCATAATCTAGGGAATCGAACTAGCGTCTTGCATCTAATCCACAACCACAAGTCCGTTCCTTAACAATGAAAATACACGAGACGGCTCATCGGTTCATTGAGATCTTTTCTTTTTATTATTTTTGTAGTATTTATGTACATGTCATTATGCGGTAGGTTAAAATCGGGGACTCCAATAATGTCAAGGGGGCACAAAAGTGTGGTTTAGAGAGAGAGAGAGAGAGAGAGAGAGAGAGAGAGAGAGAGAGAGAGAGAGAGAGAGAGAAGAGGGAGTCTCCACAAAGCCCATCATGCCTTCCCTTCCCCATGGCGACCTCGAAAGCTCAGTGTCCCCGACCCCATCATCATCACCATCCTCTCTCTCCGAACTCGGTGTCGTTGCGGGGTTGTTGCACAAGCCAAACGAGCCAAGGTTTTCCATGTGTGTGTTTGAGAGAGAGAGAGAGAGAGAGAGAGAGAGAGAGAGAGAGAGAGAGAGAGCAGGGGACAGTGTGGTAGTTTCGCAGGGGCTTTTCAAATAGATTTTAAGGTCGAGTGTCATAGTTTTTGGATGGAGCCCTGCCCTCCTCTTTCAGCTTTTGTTATTTGTTGCTTCTTGTAACGCATTTTTGGGTGGTCCAGAAGGATCGTGGGACCCCATGTTTCCTTTGTCTCTGTTCAGCATTACATCATGAGTCTGATACCGAGGAGAAAGCTAAGATACTGCACCATGTAACCGCGACTATGGCGATGAAGTAGGTTGATTAATCGCTTTCTTTTGAAATGTCGTGGGGGCTTCAACTCGGTACATTCAGCAGTACCATATTGTGTCTGTGTAAGATTCCTCGTGACGTGTTGCATGGACTTAGCTCTATCGATTATAGCAGTATGATATGATGCTTTGTTCGACAATCAGTAGGTAAACGTGTAGGAACTGGAGATTGATATGCTTTGTTCTGCCTTTTGATTGCGATACACGCTCACTTGCTTACCCTAGCACAAGAAACTCAGTTTCACAACATTTCGACGTTATTGACGGGCGATTCTTTCGATATACAAAATACTTTCGACATGTTGAAGCCCACGAAAACAAATACGAAAAAGATTGGATTTTTGCGCTGTGATATATAATATATAGGTAGTGAATCTTGCATTTAATCATATATATGTGCACTTATCAGTTTTCCCTTATACTTGTTTTCTGTGATGAATTGGCAGTACAGCTTTATCTTCATGGCAGTGAATCGCAATAAGATATTTTCTAGTTCCAAATCTTTTAAGAGTCAAACATTTTTCATTTCGGAAGGGACAGAGTGGATTTACAAAATCGATTTACTAAGTGATGTATCAGACTGTGAATGACCATTTAGATAAGTGGTCCATATGTAATGACCAATAAATAAATCTTTAAAGAATTTCAAACATGAATTTTATGTATTGTTGAATAGTGCCGACAATAGAAATAATTGCATCTTACCAAACATGACTTTAGATTTTCTATCTTGACTGTTTTCGTGAGCAGAATAAGTAGCACACCAAACATTTGACACATTAAGTGTATTTTTTTGACTTTATTGAACACTTTGAGACAAAACTAATTGATGTTAACAAATGGATTTTATCTTATTAGAGTGCTAATGGCTAAACACTTAGATCCGCAACATTTAATTAAGTTATCAAACGGGCACCTTACTCAATCAATGTAGTCATGATAGCTATAAAAAAAAGATAGCCTTTATATGGAAATTATTATTAGGTGCATTCCATTTAATAGACTTAAACCATTCAAACTTTAAAGGACAAGGATCGGGTCCAACTATACCAAAGCTAATACATACGATTCTACTTAATTTCTTAAATGTTATTGACCTAATCTAACTTTTAAATTCTCTCTCTCTCTCTCTCTCTCTCTCTCTCTCTCTCTCTCTCTCTAGCTAGGTGGTTGGCTCTTCCGGAAGCTTAGACACCTTAAGTACACAGTAGTGACCAATCATATTCTAACTTTTCATGCAACTTTGGACCCTCTTGTGCCCTACCACCATTATAAATTATCATGGCTGCATTACCCTTTACGCACAGCCTTCCACCTCCTCTTTCCCTCTCTCTCTCTCTCTCTCTCTCTCTCCCGGTTCGTCTCTCTTCCATCTCAAAGGACAAGTTTTTCGCTTTTCTCTTCCTTTGTTCTTTTCTTACAGAGTTCCTCATACAGAACAGAAATCTCCACGCACACAACACTTTCACTCCACACGCTCTGAGCATACAGCTTGTTAATTCGGTCCTTTGGCGTCAGAGAAGATGAACCTGTCCATCAATGGCCAGTCTCAGGTGCCACCAGGGTTCAGATTCCATCCCACTGAAGAAGAGCTCTTGCATTACTACTTGAGAAAGAAAGTTGCCTATGAGAAGATCGACTTGGACGTGATTCGTGAGGTTGATCTCAATAAGCTTGAACCATGGGACATCCAAGGTATGTACATACCACATCTCTCTCTCTCTCTCTCTCTCTCTCTCTCTCTCTCTCTCTCTCTCTCTCTCTCTCTCTCTCTCTCTCCTTGTACCGCCAAAATTAACTAAATTTTTTTCTTGGTTCTGCAGAAAAGTGTAGGATTGGATCCACCCCGCAAAACGACTGGTACTTCTTCAGCCACAAGGACAAGAAGTACCCTACTGGGACGAGGACTAACCGGGCAACAGCTGCCGGGTTCTGGAAGGCCACGGGACGCGACAAGATCATCTACAGCGGGTTCAAGCGGATAGGGTTGAGGAAGACGTTAGTGTTTTACAAGGGACGAGCTCCACACGGGCAGAAGTCGGATTGGATCATGCATGAGTATCGGCTGGATGAGAGCACACATGACCCGAGTGTAAGTCCTTTTGAAGTCCTGCTCCTGAAGTGAAATATTAGCATTAATTGGTACAAAGTAAATGAATCAATCTCTGAAAATTACTCTTCAGAGCTACGCTCTTTAGTGGTCTCCATGAAATTGATGTCGAGCCCGGCCAAAGAAAATATTTGACCAATAGAAGATTCATTTTTTATGGAGTTATTTGAGCTTTTAAAATATAACTTAAAGCTTAACATACCACTCACAAGATTTATATTGTCTATCCACTTTACGCGTGGAATGACACATTAGCCGAGCTTATGCATATACTTAGAAGATATCAGAAAGATGTTTAGATACGCGAATGCATCATCTGAAGCATTATTTGTATGAACTGTTCGTAAAACTCTTTTGCAAGGTTGATCTTGGAGAGAGAATGACACCATTTATGTTAAAGAAATCCAATCCAAAACCTTAAATTATTTTTACATAGATGATGGTACGCGTATACTTGGCATAATCAATTACCCTTTTTTTTTTGCTTTGTCCACCAAATGAAAACATGACTTTTTCTGCATCAACTTGTTGACAGAAAAGCATCACATCATGTAAATAGAATAAAATGTCCTCACATAAATCAGTCACTCTCTACTCTAATGCAGTCAAACGCACAGACGCGAAAATCAAAATTATTTGGCCAAACGTTATAATCCCTTGTATATCTAAAATCCAGGCTCTGAGTCCAGCTGGAGATCCATCCCCAGAAGAAGGGTGGGTGGTGTGCCGAGTGTTCAAGAAAAAGAACTATCAGAAAACCCTAGACAGCCCCAAGAGCCCATCGTCTTCGACCTCCATGGACTCAAAGGCCATGCAACAGATGCTCGCCGCCACTGCCAATGACGGCGTATTGGACCAGATACTCTCCTACATGGGAAGAACGTGCAAGGTTGAAAGCGAGACTCCCATCAAACTCAATCTCTCCCCCAATAATTACAACCACAACAACAACATCAAGTACTCCGTTTCAAACACCGATCTCCTGCACGGTAAGTTCATGCATCTCCCGAGGCTTGACAGCCCGAGCCTCCCTTTAATCCCTGCGGCGAGCTCGCCGTTCGACCACCAAGACTGCTCTTTCAAGCTGTCTTACCACACGCTGGACGAGATGCTCGCCGAGACCTCTGGGCACCATGGGATCGGCAGGTCTTCCACCCCGGATTGGGTTGCCGTGGACCGGCTGGTGGCATCTCAGCTCAATGGCCAAGTTGCCGAGACGCCGAAGCAACTCTCGAGCTGCTTCAGTGACGACCCCGGTTCTGACGTCGGTGGCCTGAGCATGGATGATGAGGTGCAGTTTTCTCACATCAAATTAAACAACAAGCCTTCGAGTCAGCAAGGTCTGGAGATGTACGTCTGCGAGAGCAACGACTTGTGGAGCTTCACGAAGTCGGCGTCGTCGTCATCAGACCCATTACGCCATCTGTCAGTATAACGGAGGTGCTTTGAGATATATCATATTAAAACTTTAGTCGCTGCCTAATTCCTAGGGTTTGATATGTTGTAACCACAAAGAGAAGGGACGACCTAGGTTTATGAAATATACAGGTTACGTACATGCATGTAGTGAATAAAAAAAAAACGAAATCAATTCTTGGCAATATATAGACATACACATATATATTTACATATTTATATATCTTCGTACGTATGTGTAAATTGAGATGGTGGGGCTTTGTCAAGCCCATATCTTTCCACAATGACCAAATATCTTCCACTCACCAACCGATAACGATTTTGCACATGGGGCTTCTTTTCAAGCTAACATTATCTTCCCACGAGCAATAATGAGGAATTATTGCCTAAGGATCAGTAGAGTCCGCAAATCATCTATTTAGCGACCGCTTAAGGTTTTCTTCAATAAAACCCTCGTGAGAAAACAAAAAAGTACATTTCCGTCCAATACGATTAGTGCAAAAAAAGCGATGATACAATTAATAACAAATTGAGCTGTATGCAATCACAATCGACTGAACAAGTGATTATTGACTTTTCTGAATATATCGGGATATTCCTCGTGTGGAGGAAATTCAACTGCTTTCCTCACTGATTGAGTCCCACTTAGCATAAAGGAAAAAACTACGAGTTTCTCGATAAGTATGAGTACAAGAGCTTGAGCTGGGGTACCAAGTTCCTTTTTCCTAATATCAATCATTATATGAGCTTCGTTATTTTTCTCTCTTTTGTCCGTGGTTGTGGCCCTTTCTTCCTCCTCAGAAAAGGAAAAAAATCGTTAACCCATCGAAAAGATTGACAAAGCCTAATCATGGCGCTAAATTGACTTTGAAGCAGAAGCTGGGTCTCAGACATCCCCCACAGACATTTAACATGATACCCACTTGACATGGTCCAAACACCAATTGGTAAGATGTCATTCGAAGAGTATCAATCCGTTAATGTTTTTCTAGAAGAGGGAGAGAGAGAGAGAGAGCTATCTCACCTAACTTTACCTTTGAATATTTATAATAGAAAAAAAGAAAATGTTGTGTGGAGAGATTCATTGTTCTAGGAAAAAAATTTGAATGTTGTTCGCCATAACAGCACGAGTATCACAAAGCCAAAAACTTTACCATCTTTTGTCTTGTTCGGAGTGGGGGGGATTCAAGATTCCTTCCCCTTGTTTATGGGTCAGGGTGATGGCTTCTTTATATAATTGACAGTGAAATTTGTGCTTAAAGTATTTGATTAGCAATTAAAAGATTTTGGAACCGTTTCATTATTGCAGAACTGGGGAAACTATGATCCTTCGTTAAAGTCTTTAATATGTAGCTTTTAGCCATCCGACTTGGCCAAGGAAATATCAGCTATAAACCTATGACCTTAATGGGTTTCCTATAAATATTGTAAGAGTGCCTCAGGACACTTTTTAAGTGATTTATTAACAACTTTCTGCGATTTTCAATGGGCTATCCTTTTCACCATTTTATGTGTTGTCAAAATCTTTCCATGATACCATATCAATATGCTTAACAAGAACCCCGGGATTGGGGCAATTAATTGGGCGTCGGGGGATTTTCGGCTCAAGCATTGGAGATCGCACGTTTAAATCGTACCAACTACCTGCAAAGTACTATCGATTAAGGTTTGGCAATTGGCAATCAATTGTTCAAATTCTCAATTCACATGTCGAAAATTCCTTATCTCGAGAGGTTGCCACCTCCCCAAGCACACATGCGAACGCACACACAAATTGCTGCAACAAAAGGTTGCAATTGAAGGTTGTGACGTGAAACCAGGTCGCCTGAGGCCAGCGACCGTTGCAACTTTCCTAGGTTGGTGGCGACGATGACCTATAGCAATAATCAATTAATCAGAGAGAGAGAGAGAGAGAGCAATGGTGGAAGTAGTCAATGTGTCGTACAGACGGTCAAGTGATAGTGTTAGTACAAACTATAGAGCTAGGATTGCGATCGTCGACACCACCATAGTGCTTAAGCAACAACCATGGTTCCTAGTACATTATTAGCAAAGAAAATCAGATTAGGTTTGTGTACGTGGTGTTCCTTTTGAAACACCGGGGGTCAGGTACACTGTGGATATCTCGATAAAAAGTAAATTAAAATGAGGACCTTTAGATAAAGGAAGAACCGAAGTACAGAGGAATAAAGGAGAATTTAAAACTACGAACAGTAAAAGAGAGATTGATAAAGCAGAGAACGAAAACAGAGATTTTAAATTAATGCTTCGTATTGATTTCTCCCGTTAATGATTTACAAAGAGATGATGGGTTTATATACACTTGTAGAGAATCTGTATAACAAAATTCAATTGAAGTTTGAATAAAATTGAATGAGTTATAGATAAAGATTTAGAGATATGGAGAGGAGCCGGAAGTTTCTCGCTAAACCTATTCTGGTGGAACTTCTTGCTAAACCTATTCTGGTGGAGATGACTCTGACTTGTTCAACAGATAATATGGTCAGGTCTAGACCCTTAAGTTTTTCTTTCTTTGGCTGATCTGTTTATCTTCACATAGGGACGTTAATAAACCAATTTCACGTCTTTAAATTTAGAGGGTCTCGGTCGTCAGCCGAAACGTAAGTACACTAGGTTCCAACTTGAGAGTAGGTCAGACAATTACACTCATCTATAGATACATGATGATAAAAATAATAACTAAAGTTGACAAGAACCCTTCTCTTTTCTTAGTATGGAAAAAAAGACGTTGAATAGTTCGAATTCGCGGGATGTTCAGCGTCTAATCGTTGAAGCGGCCACGAAGCACGCTTGACATTTCGAGAGTGGTGGCAAATAGCTAGCAGTTATGTATGATGTGGCAAATAGTTAGTAGTTATGTATAAAATATTTTATACATAACTACTAACTATTTGCCACCACTCTTGAAATCCACAACTTCCTCATGCTTGAGAACGACACTTGCGTCCGCAAGTTGGGATTTCACGGGCGAGAGGCGCACAAAACAAACGAAAACATTAAAAAAAACCCAAAAAATAAATAAAAACCTCTACGTCTAGTATTATAATGAACTTTATATCATAGTTTTTTTATGTGAATCAAATAACGACATGAGATTACAAAATGAAGAAATCGCTTTCTTAATTAATTCATGGGCTTTCGTAGATCTCCATGCATGATCCTGAATTGACTCGTTTCTACGTGATTGGCAATACGTTATTACTATGTTCGTTAACAAGCGACAAAGAGGCCAATTTACTAAGATTACCATGCAGCTGATATCTTCACTCGATGCTGATGTATCAACCAATCATTGATCGATGGACAAACGTCTCTAGCAAGTTAATATCGAAAGCGATTCGTCATAAGCTCTAATACGATTGCTACTTTTTTTAATTTTATCTTATATTTTTGTGTATATAATAAATGGCCAAATGATAAAATTAAGTCTCTCCTATCCCAATAAACTATCGTTGTATGCGGAAAATGAGGGTCAAAATAAATAAGGACGTCGGTCTTTCTCTAATGATTATGTGTTAGTAGTAGTGCCAAGGGTATTTTAAGTGTGTTATGAAGCATGCGACATCTGACCCGAAAGGCACATCATGTGACATCTCTTCTACGACAGAAAAAAATCTACATATTTAAGACTAATGAGGTTAGTTAAGCCAAAATTATGATTAGAAGAGACAGGCTCGATGATATTCAATTAATGAATTTATTTGTAAGAGGGGAAAAAGAAGGAAAATTATGAAAGACACGAAAAGGTGGAGACACTTTTGATATGCCTCGCCTTGCCGACTCCCCCTTTCTTGACTCGATTTGTAATTTTGTATAGAATCATTGCACGGCTTGTTTCTTTCTCACTGACGTCGATTGCAGCTTTGAGATTGATTAGCAATAACAGGCGTTTCAGCTTTAAATTGCGGTATTAGACAGCGCCAAAATTAGGGATAAGTGATTCCAGTTTCCATCCAAATTCCACTTAGAACCTAGAACCTACCTGTCAAAATATGTTCTCTAATTTTTTTTAATCGGGAACCCATCCTGCATACCCAGAAACCTGGAACCTACCCTGTCATAGGTTCCAGAGTCTACCCAGATTTCACCTGTACTCTTATTTGAATGATTATAGTGAATCATCACTTCTAATAATTACTATTTGTTACAATCCACTGATCACAACTCATATTTATACACATGAAGAATATGAAACATTGACAAAGTAAAAGTCTCAATCATGAATATTGCCGGAAATGGAAGTTCGTGCTAGTGATTTCAGATTACATGAAATGCCATAGGATTGCACGAAGACATAGAATAAGAAAAACACAAAGACTTACGAAGACTTGTTAACCTGAAATTTACCCGTCGAAATAAGTTTCCTAATTTTTAGAACCTGGAACCTAAGTCATGCTCACCCCCATTCAAAATTCACCCCTAGCTCTTATCATCGACGAAGATAGGGGGAGGGGGCGGTCATCGAAATCTATCTATATAACAAGAAAATAGCGATGCATTTCTTTAAAAAAATTGTTGGAAAACTTACCTTTGAATTTGTCTTTGTTTCCGGATTGCCAAGAGACTACAAATCCTTTTATCTTTTCCATTTTTTTCTCAAACCGGGAGGGCATATTGTTTTATTGATCGCTTATTATTGCAGCGCACTAGAAAGATTTTTCGTTTGGCCAAGCGCGAAAAAAGAAAAGAAAAGAATATGGAGTGAGGGTTTTACATAAAATACAAAAATATAGCACATGACAATGTGCAGACGACGTTATCCATATATACACATGTAACGATAGCATTCCATGGAGTCAAAATTTGTCGGGGCAAATCGGGACAGCAATTGCTGATTTATTGGCACGACATGATCTTTTCTTTGACCGAGGTAGAGAGCACTTTCGTCCACTTTAATATCAAAACCCACTTGATGGCTCATCAATGGCAGCTCCAAAGTGGCTAACCCTAATCCACGGCAATCAGATACAAAATCTTTGTCCTTTTACACGATGTTCCTCACCCTACGCAAGTCGTTTGCCTTTCCTTTTCCCTCCTCCCCTCGTTTTGGTGGGGCTCGATCGATTATTCGCCCAAAATAACACGGGTCTTATCATAAGCTCCCCGTGCCGTAGGTAATGGACACAACATAGGATCAAGTCATAATCCTCGAGGAAGGATAAAGAATCTTGAATGGTGCCATGTCGTCCCGACTACTTAATCCGACGTATAGTTTAACTCCAAGGGAAAAATTACCCATTCGGTCTTGGATATATTTTGCGGATGTCAATTTAGTCCTAAATCGTTGCGCAAAATTCCAATGTTGCCTTTTTGGTCAATTTTTACCGGAAATCGATAACGTGGCAATCCAGTCATCGCTGGTTGTCTTACATGGCACTCCGCCACTTCAGCGATTTCCGACGAAAATTTACCGAAAAGATTACATTGAAATTTCTCGCAAAAATTTAGGACTAAATTGTTAAAATTGAAAAGTTTAGGATTGAATTGTCACAGGTGTACCGGTTTGAGGTTTTTGGTGGTAAATTATTAGTTCAAGGTAAATTTGTCATAAATGTACTAGTTTGAGGTTTTTCGTGATATTAACTCTATTTTTTATTGCCAAATTCTTTTTGGACCACAAGGATTTGTTTGGTAAGAAGAATGAGAACGATTGCAAACTTTTGCGTACGCCACGCTCATGCCCGATTAATTTTCGATTTCTTGTCTGATGACACGATGAAATCGCCATTAGATTAATCACTTTAGCGTATAGAGAAATAAATTATTAAGCATTATCGTTTTTATTTACCCCTATACCCGTTCTTTTCCCGAAAAACAAACATTGAATGACATTTTACTGTTCCTTCAGAATTTAGAATCGAACATTTGTTCAAAATTTAGAAAAAGAATGTGCAAGAAGGATGAGGTCAGCTATTGCACTGTAACGATAATTAAGGAATTGCATAGTAACCTTTTGTCTTTTTATCCTTTTTCGTTGGCCAATTATACCCTTTTTTTTTATCCTTCTTAAAGTGAAAATTGCATTACAATATTAAATCATACACGGAGGAGAATTAAATGAGAAAGCATAAAGTGAGACAAAACACACTTTTTGCTTTACTGAATTTATAGTATTATTTTCTGCATCTACGTGCACTTTTAAGCTCTGGACCTGCCTCCACTTGAAATTCGATCCGCATGTATACATTATAGTCATCATAAACATAGAGTTGCGCTGTTTAAGTGATGCGCACCCATTCAAAAGTATTCATGATGAGGGTTAGCTCTATTGTGTATTTGTAGCTATGGACATTTTTGCATTGGTAATTCTTTACATTTTATTAGTGTGTGTGGTGTGTGTAGGAGATGTACTCGTATTTCTTGTTTCATTTTTCTTAAGCAAGGCGATGACTCGATGATTCTACTGGAGTTCATTTGTTTTCATGCCACATCTTGGGACTTGGCGTTCGAACCCTCGACCTCTTCTTTCCCAAAGAACAGAGATGCCGCATCTCACAAGAGTCGGGTACTCAAAGAACCCCGAAAACTCTACTATAGCTCATGAGAGATGGTGTTGGTGTTTACCTAAACCCTAAAAATGAAAGAGGAAAAGGGATTATTAGTCTACATTCTCAAGCAAGGCAATGACTCGACAATTCTACTAGAATTCATTTATTTCTGCGCCCTATCTCGAGACCCGGCGTTCGAACCCTCGACCTCTACTTTCCCAAAGGACAAAGACACCACATCTCACAAGAGTCGGGTACTCAAAGAGCCGTGAAAACTTTACTATAGCTCATGAGAGATGGTGTTTTTTTTTTGGTAAGGGCTCATGAGAGATGGTGTTGGGTTCACCTAAACCCTAAAAATGAAAGGGGACAAGGGATTACCTGTCTACAAGTAAAGCGCCCAAAATGGTCAACTTAGATGGGCTTGGCTCAAACTTTGGTAACATTTGCTCTCCATTGTAGCAGGCTTCCCTCACTAAAGTCCAAGCCCGATTATAGCCGTGTACTATAAGAACCAATGAAAGCCCAGCATTTAGGCAAGACTACTAAGCAAAAGGTTTTGGGCTTTCAGGTGAAAGCCCAAATACAATATTAGGCCCAACAATATTCAACGTCGTCGGTCCATTGGGCTTGGCCCATGAAAGAATTCACGTAACACGCTCTTAACGTCTTGGCCCGTGTCCGGTAAAGACCATGTGTAGCGTAATCTTCTTCACTAGGTTTATTTTGTATAATTCGTGCAAGAACTAAGTAGCTTGAAACTCGAACCAACGTAAAGAATTGTCGAACCCCCGTAGTATCTTCATTTCCTTGCGAACCTTTTTTGTGGTCCTCCTGTTTTAAGATACGGAAACTTACTAGCCTCGTAGGATCATAATTATTGGGGATGATTAGTTCAAGGGCAGATAGATTTCAAAGCGAGAACCTATACCCTATCTTGTCAGAGTCGGTTCTCGATTTTTGGAGCTGCGAACCAAACCAGCTCCCTTAGGAACTGGCCTGGAACCGATAGGTTTCAGGTGGATTCAAGGGTCGACCTAGAAACCAAACCCAAATTTTGAGTAATGTAACCATTGTTTTAGGAAAACAAATCACATGAACAATCCGTGGCATAATAATTAAGGCTCTGATGCATCTCCAAATCTTCACATGTTTGAAACCCATCTCCACCATATCAAGAATCGAGGGTTCACGGTATAAAATGAAGAACCGAACCAACAAAGGCCGGTTCCTCTACTTTTTTTATTTATTTATCCAAGGACTTACTTGATCCCCGTGTGAACAAATTAGGTAATGCCTATTCAGTTCGATTCCTGAATAGACTCGGCCTGATTACTCATCCTTAATAGTGTTGGGATCTAAAATGAACAACCATCAGGGAAGCAAGAATAACATGTGAATGCCAAAGGCTAGGACAGTTTTGTTTGCCAAGCTGCGACGATATCCAGTACACCCTTTTAACAAAAGTTGCTACTTTTAATTATCTAGCTAACGATACTTGATCATATTTTATGACACCTTTAGCTTCTTTCCATTGAGATTTCAATTGATTAAAGATCCAAAAAACTAAAGAATGAGAGTTTGGATCTAGCTTTTGATATTGATGATCATTATAGCTTGTTCTCTTGTAGACATACTATAAACACACGCATAGACTTGCACGCACGCTTCATCATTCTAGGAGCTTTACAATTCATTGATGCAATTACGAGCTAGTACTGTCCCAGCTCTAATGCTAAGCTATCAATTAGTTCTACTAACATCACTTGTGTAGTGGTTTAGATTATGAAATTGATAGACAATAATGAATTGACACCTTCTATACAAGTCATTAGGTCACACTTCTGTGTCTTTGTGCATGCTTAAATCTTCAAGTGAATTGATTTGTGACATTAAAAAAATGGTTTCATCTCTCTTTTTCGATTGATCATGTCAATTTGTTGGTGCCATCTCAAAACTTTATACAATATTGTTGTTGATGGTTGAGTTAATTTAACTTCTTGAAAGTTATAACAGACACATTCAAGTCCTCTCTATCTTCGATTCTTCGAAAATTTAAGAGAGAGCTAGGATTATGTCAACAAAGGATTGTAAATTGCATCATACCAATTTTTTGCTCAACTTATATAGCTTGTCATAATGATGACTTTAATGTCACCTCTAAATGCACTGTAGAGTATTTATGTGTTAAAATTAGACTTCTTATCACCTAGCGAAAATGCCTTTTTAAAATTTTTTTCTAAGATGATTGGCAATGAAAAGTCATAAATCTATTGTCAATTCAGCTCTAAACTTTTTAATTTAACCAATTTAATCATAAATTTTTTGACAATTTTTCAATATAATTCTTTCAGCCAATTTTAGCTAGAATTTGTTGACGTGGTGCTCCCATTGGCGCCGACCGTCTACGTGGCACGGCCAGAGAGGGCCAACGCTGATGTGAGCGATTTTTGCAATTTCTTTAATTTTTTATTCTTTTTTTCCTTTGCTTTTCACATGTGGCCCGACAAGCGTGGCCCTTGCCTGTGGCCGGTTGCCAGCCATCGCTGAGATCAGCCACAAGTGAAAAGGAAAAGAACATAACAGGAAAACATTCAGAAAATTTGAAAAAAATTGCAAAAATCGTCCACGTCACTTTGCCACACAAGTTGTTCGGCATCCACGGCAACGATTTCCATCCAAAATTGGTCGGAAGGACTGCATTGGAAAATCGTCAAAAATTTTAAAAGTAAATTAGCCAAATTAAAAAAGTTTAGAAGCGAATTGGCCGCCTTTCAAATAAGTTTAGGACTTTTTGAAAAAAAATAAGACAAATTCCAAAGTCAACTAGTGAAGCATGTGCAGCTGTCTTCATTTTCAGGAACGATACCCAACAATACCTACTGCATCAAATTAAATTCTCAGAGCTTTTTCTTATTTGTTTTTTGTGTGGTCAAAGTGAATTCTCACCTTTAAAACTTTCATATACTTCATAGACCATAGTACATGATTTGGGTCCAAATAATGCAGATCCACATCAATGCCTGCTTTCGATCAGATTCCAAGAAACAAAACAATAAAGTATTCACATTCAGCATTGACCATAGCCATCTCAACATTTGCAGTAGTAACCCACTTTCAGCAGATACACTAACCGAAAACAACAAATCTTGTACAAGGAAAAAAAAATTGAAAAAGATATGAAAAAAAATTCATCAAATTTACCCAATCATAAGAACCTGGTCAATTATGTGTTTTGATCACCGGTTGACCATCGTCGTCTAGCTCCAAATGAGACTATTGGATCTAGCTGCAGCTGGTGCACTCTTCTGCTTGAGCAAAATCCTGATCTGAGCCTTTTGGCACTCCAGCTTCGTTCCCCAATGCCGGCTGCTCTTTGACCCGATCGCCCGCACCACCCTCGGGAACTCGACGAACCCTTTGATCCCTCTCCTTATGTGCGGGTTCTCCGGCTCCGGCGACGGCCTCCATTGACCCACTCCTGCTGCTGAGACCGCCCCGATCTTGTCGTGATCACCGCATGCTTTCCCGCTAATTGAGCCCGCCTTGTTGGGCTCTTTGACACTGGACCCGCGGTCACAATTGTCGCCCGGCGCTGTCTCTCTCATTGAAGCCACACCATGGCCCGACGATGAATCGTCTCTCGTAGTCAAATGATCAACGACATTGTCGTCGATGCAAGTCGACTTCTTCTCGCTCAGGACCAGCCGACTCTTCGACCGGTCTCCGAATAACAAAATCCTGCCGATTTTCCTCGACACCAACTCGACGCGATCATCTTCATAATCACTTGGCCCTCCATGCTTGGTGGAACGTCCAGCTCTCTCGAGTTCTTGAATCTTCTCCTCCAGCAAAACCCTAGCCTCGGCAAGCTTCATCTGGACCCTCTCCTCCCTCAAGACCTCAGCGAGCCTCAGCATCTTCCTCTCCTCCTCCATCTCGCGCTTCATCCGGTCGATGTCGGCCTTGTCGGAGGACACCTCCCTCGCGAGCTTCTCGCAGACCCGCTCTAGAGCCTCCCGCCCCCGCCTCTCTTCGGCTAGCTCCTTTCCCAGCTTCTTGTTCACGTGCTCGACCTTCTTGCGGGCCTTGCGCTCATGCTCGAGCTCGGACCTCACGTCCTTGATCTGGGCGCGGAGGAGCTGGAGCTCGGAGTCCATGGAAGCTCTCAAGAAGGCGAGATCCAAGATAGAAGAAGAAGCAATCTTGCGAGAGTTAGACAGAGGGAGATGAAGAAGATGACGACGATGATAAGCTGATGAATGGTGATGTTGGTTATGAGGTTGATGATTGTGTGGGGAAATAAAAAAGGGGTTCTCGTAAAGTTTCCAGCTCGGTTCGAATGTGGGGTGGTCTTGATCTTCTGGGCTAATGCTGCGACCGATCGTCATCATTATGAGCTGATCCTCTTCTTCTTCTTCCTCACGTTCCATTGTCCTTCTCCTTCACTCTTCTCCTCCTTCTTCACTCTTCTCCTCCTTCCGGGTCTCTCCTTTTTTCTATTAGAGAAGCCTTTTTCACTTCCTTTCTTAGGGCCTCCCCTTTTGCTTCCTTTTTCTCTCTTTCTTTTCCCTTTGTCGATCCCCCCTTTCAGTCTCCTTTCTCTGGGCTAGCTAAGAAATTATGATGATTGATCTTTTGGGGATGAAGGGGATCATGAAAGCAGTAGGGAGGGGGAGGTGCTAGGGCCATGGATTTTTTATTGTACTGGGGAGGCTCGTCTTGAATTGAATAATCATATGTCTAGCAACCAAAAAATAAGAAAGAGGAAAAAAAAGTTTGCATTTGGAATGGAAGATACGATCAGATGCTGCCTCTTCGTTTTATTTATGGTGTGGGGGTGGCCTTGAAGGTGGCCCTCTCTTCCTCTGCCATTTTATTTAATGAACCCGTCCCGTCTATCGACATATGATTGATGGTAGTCATGTCTAATCAAACTATATATTTGATTTACCGAAGTACTTTGATAGATGGTTTATCGAATGTGGGGATATGGATTACTAAGTGAAATGCTCGTTAACAAATGTCATCACGTCCCTCAAACAACGTTTTTTATAGATTGGTCTTAGCGTACCTCGTTATACTTTTCTCCTTTGAATGGCTCGTCTCGCGTCTAAAAAGGGAAAACAAAAGCTTTTTAAAGTAATAAAAAGGAAAAACAAAAGCTTTTTAAAGTATTGCATTATGAGGTATACCGTTATTATTATAACAATATGATTAAGCGCTATCGGCATGTACAAAAACTCTATTACTACATAAATAAATTTATGAGGTGTTATCAAAGCGACCATGCCGACTTAAAAATTTCTCTATCGTCAACTGACCTAAATCAAAACTTAATTTGCCACTATATTAGGCCTACCTCATCCACAAAGATCCTTCTTTCTTCCTTTTGGAGGATGACCATGCTAATCTAAGTAAATTATGGCCCTTAAAGATTTCATTAATCTCGTAAATTATGGCCATTACAATGACACTGAACACATAACAATGAAAATACTTATTTTATTAAGTAAACGCTAATAACATGGCATTTTGTATCTCGGTTTGCTGTCAACTTGGATTCCCTCTCAATTCAAGGGTTTCTATATTTTCTAACCTTGGGAGAGGATAATAATATATTTATTTTCCCAACACATGCATCAGCGACGTGCTCTCTAGTCAAATCAATTGAGAATAATGTGTGCCCCCACTTCACCTATAAGATAGGGGTGCACCTAATTTTTCCTGCGGGACCGACACTAGTGTTCGGAGGTTCCCTTCTCTGGCCATCATTTATTGCATAGGAAGCAATATTATTATGTGCCGATCTCTTCAGCAAAGCATTAAGTTGCGTGGTCAACAGAGAATTTAAGCCCTAGTCCTTGGTTGAATGAGAAGGGTTGCTCAGTGCTAGTCAAGGGTGAGCAATTCGGATTTCGAAATCGTTGAACCAAATCCAAACGGATCGAAATTGAAGGTGCGGTTTGGTTTGAGCGGGCCATCCATCCAAATATCGTAATTTTTTTTTATGTTTTGTGTCTTTCATTTGATACGTTACTTCCAAGTGATTCATCATGTGTGTTGTTCAACACTTTGGTTATTTAATTGAAAAAATTGACAAACTCACCAATCTTCCAATGAGTTGTAGTCGACTTATTCATGAAAAGTTGTGCTCAATAATTTTCCAATCCCAACACTTCGTTTGTTGCAAGAGATTAGGAGGGAAGTGAAAGGGTTTATAAACAATATCATGTTTGAACGGAGGGAAAGAGATAGAGGAAAAGGACTAGAAGGGGCTAGGAAAAATTAGATGGGATGATCCGGTCAATTTTATTTACGTATAAATCCTTTTCGATCTTTCCAAATATAGAAAGATTTGGAAGGATTGTATATTAAAAAACAAATATATTCGTATTTCTCGCTTATACCCTTATTTTACAACTAATCATAAGTACTAAACGATAGAGGAAAAGGATTAGAAGGGGCTAGGAAAAATTAGATGGGATGTTCTGGTCAATTTTATTTACGTTATAAATTCTTTTCAATCTCTCTAAATATAGAAAGATTAGGAAGGATTGTATATTTAAAAACAAATATATTCGTATTTCTCGCTTATACCCTTATTTTACAACTAATCATAAGTACTAAACGGTATTTATGGCATGATGCATTCGTTTCTTTCTTTTCCCTTGTTAGTAGCCAAATAATATTACAACTCAATTCCTTCAAATCCATTCTTTTCTTTTCCGTATTCGAAGAAGTTGATTTCCTTTCTAATCGCTCCACCCAAAACGAGTGCAATAGAAAAATTCCAACGAGCTATACTAGTGAAGAGGTTTTAAAAGGTTGCCCAAAACAAATGCATTAAATATCCAACTCAAAAGTGTAGAATTCCTCAAAAAAGAAAAAGAAAAGTTGACAAGACGAAGGACCCTCCGGGCGAACATGGAGGACCCTACAATCGTCTGCTGCCACATTCCCCCACCATAATATAAAAAAAATGGCCGTATTTATTGTTCTATTCCTTTTCCTTTTTAAATCTACTTATTTTTCCATTATTTTAGTGACTTTGAGGGGCATATAGAAATAATTATGCAATTACTAGTGGACCCTAGGGGGAAAATGAATAGATCGGTGGCACCGGCCGGGCCGGTGAACCTCAGCCAAGCTTATGTATCTTACCTTGCAAGAGTTATTAGGTCAATTATTCAGGCTAGACTTAGGTAATGTTCTTGCTTTCGGTGCGACGATACACCGAAATCCATCATTTCGATGTCTCCGACATCATACCGAAGCTCTATTTTCAAGAACTTTTGAGAGCTACCTCTCCATTCTATTCAGAATATTGACCGAAAAGAAAATGAGGATGACGGGACGAGAAAGTATTTTACTTCGAAATAAGAAAAAAAGGAAAATCATTGTTACAACCACGTTAGAGAAAATCGCCACAACATTAGAAAACCCATTTACGAACATTAAGTGTCGTGCGTGTGTATATATGCATATGAGTAAATTACATACTTTTTGCAATTTCCCATCTGGTGAGGAGGGTCGTGCGACTTAGAAAATTGTCTCAAACTTTAGGGGTTGCAAAAATTAAATGGCCGCAAGCAAAAAATTAAAAAAAGATTGTCATGCTCACATGCGGATGCAAGCTTTTTTCCCTCGAGGACACCCATGATGGCGCCACACAAAAAGGGGAGGAATCCGAGGTCTTAAGGTCTTCTATATTGAAGCGGATCATGTGCTTCCACATGCCCAAAAACAAGCATGACACGGGAAAACCATAGTATAGTGACTTCACCAAAATGCGAGAGCTCAGTTGGAAAAAAAACAAATAGAAAGTGCATTAATCAGCTACAAGAGATTTTACTATTTGGGGATCATAGAATCCATCTTTCGACTGATAAGAGGTCTTTCCTTGGAAGTATTGATTTGTTAGTTGGAAGATGATTGAAATAGGAACATGATCGGAGCACTAAACGGACAAACATGACGACGAGATTGATAGTCAATACGACCGTAGGGAGGGTCAACATTTACAATCGTTAAAGATGGTGAGGTGAGGTGAGTTGAGGCGAGTTGAGGCTCGTGTGAATTAGAGATTGGGATTATGTTACAGTGTGTATGGACCCGAGAGTCCGTGCAAGAATCTTCCCGATCACGGGAGTGAATCTAGAGGTCCGAATATTTTCTTTTCTGCTAAAGTCGGAGGTGGCCCTAATGCTTGATAGCAGATGGAACATAACCAATTTCAGCTCCGGTTAGACAAGAAATTTCACGAAGTCCGGATCGCGGCTTAGAAGGCCGAGCACGTGATTAAACACATGCTTCGCGCAGCCGAAGCAGAAGATCACAGTTAACGGAAGCATCATTGTATGAGCAAAAGCTCTACCGCATACATTAAAAGCTTTACTCTGCCTGAGCCTGAAGTTTTCAAGAGAATAGCTTCATATATTTAGGAGCAACATCATCCGTGAACTTGAACTATTGTGCATTGTAATTACTATAAAAGCTAAAGACGTCAGCTTGAATCGTTCAGCAGTTTCCTCAAGCCAGAGCAAAACCAGACCATCTCCGGAGGGGGCATTTGGGGGGCTTTTCTGTGCAACCATGCGTGCAGAACATGACGAGGAAAACCAGAGGGAGCAGGAGTATCTGCGCACGGTATTGACCAAGTCATTGCCCCATCGGGGAAGCTAGGGCAGTGCGCTATGTACGAGAGACGACCTCTATCGACTCAATGGAGGTTCTTTGGTTATCTTTGGAAGATAATATTGTATATTTCAGTAAGTTTTGAAAAATATTCTTGTTTCTCTTTATATGTCTCTTCTTTCTTTGATGGGTTATACACGTAAGTTATTCTTTCTGTTATATTTCAGGATGATAGCCATTGGAGCCTATTGCATCGAGTTTTGTACTCCGAAGGGCGAAATTATCTTTAAGGACGGTACTTACATGCCTCAGACAGTTAATTTTATTTTCTTCTGTTCCAACAAATTTCCATGAATCCTTATTTTTCGTATTATTTAAATATTTCCAGCAATCTTAAGGATACTTTATTGCCTTAAGACCTAGTTATCAATCTCCAGCAAGTCTTCTCTCACCGCAAGGAGGATGATTTTGGTGATTCCGCCTAGCCGATTGAGCCTTCCAATTCGGACTTCGTCCCGGGCAGTGCTAACACTGACGATTGCTCGGAGCCAATTGTCCTGTTCACCAACAAACAGAATCGAGTTCCTCGGCCTCGCTTAACCTCGTCAAAGCTCTCGTCCGCAAAGGCCTCTGCAATGTCCATATCTACGTTCCTCAATCTATACCATCTCTATTCGGGTTCACAAGCAGATGACTCATTGTCCTGTTCATATCAAATTTTAAATTTTATGTTACATTTATCTTCTTAGATCTTGCTGGATAGAGGAGGTTGTTAAACAGCCTCGTAACAAATTCATAATTCCTCAAATAAATATCTCATTTGAATTGTGTCGTCATTGAAATACATTGTTTTTTTTTTTTTTTTTTTGATAACTCAGGGAACCCCGCACGACCGACAGCCGGGGAGTAAACCCTGGGCGCGACACGTGCTAGCCACCACACACGTGCAGTATTCGGGACTCGAACACTCAACCTTTTGCGAGAGGAAGAGTGCGCGCTCCAGCAGCGCCACCCAGGCGAGTGGTAAAATACATTGTTACTCTTACTTAAGTCAATAATCTTTTCGTTTCATTACTGATGGCTGAAGATGTATAAGGAAAGCTTAATGGGCTTTTGTAACTATGCTTGAAGGTAAAGAGTTTATAAATTGCATGTCCAGGCCCCATTTGACCTTGGGGAGATGTCTAGGGTTTTTCCCAATAGCATGTGTGTTACTAATTTCTTACTTTCTACTGAATTAGAAATATGTTTCTTGACCTGTGACTAATGAAAAGCTTGAGTTTTACAAAGCTATCCTTGGAAAACCTTGAAAATTTTTAGTGTTAAGATTGGTCTATTGATTGGGGTGTCATACCTTCGTGGATAGTTGTACGCATTTGCTGCTCATCAGTTGTTACTCACGCTATTCCGAGTGAATTCCTTATACTCTGTTTTAGCAAGGTGAAGGCTGAGAGCTCTTAATTCTGTTGTCGTGAAAATTGATCTCACCTGAGGCTATCTGAAGAATCTTGAATGTGCTTTGTTGTTTTGTTTCATATTGGCTGTGAATCCTCGTGTCCCCATTGCATCTAGATTCCTTGGCCGGGATACCTATCATCTGTTTGATAAAATTCCTGAGCGTCAGTTTATATCTCATATGTTTCAGTTTTGATTGGTATGTAATGAACTTGCCTCATTGGTTCAGTAATTTTCACTTCAATATTGGCCATGAGATCCATGGCGGGGAATTGGCGTGTTCTTGTTTTTTTACATCCATTATTTGACTCAAACTTATGAACCTACGGTCAATACTCACTGGAACAAAGCTTATATTGATGATCGTGATTATGTTCTACCATAACTTGACTTTGATTAGCGGTCATTCCATTTGCAACAATTTTGTGTAATTGATGTGAACGAGTTAAGTAGGGGCATATATCAAAGTGAGGAACTACATGTATTTTGCGTGAGTGTCATACATTGTATTCATAGTGTATGCGTTCGTGCTAATACGCTAAATTGTGAATTATGATTCATTTTATGCATGTTCATTGTTCGCATGCCTCTGATGTTAGTGTATGAGATCTGAAGATGTTGAGAGTGAACGAACTATAAGTGTAGATTGAAGGCGTGAAAAAAGTGAAAATGTTGGCGTGATGTTGCAATTGATTCTACCTACGTGTGTATGTATAACTTGTGAAATGCGCTATCATGTAAATTGTTGTATGAGAATAGAGTGTTATGTTATGTATGTGTGAACGTAAGACCGAATGAGTAAACAAGTGTGGACCAAAAAGAAAGATATGAAGGTCAAAAATGGACTTTAGAGCTGTGATTTTGCAGCCATGTAAATATAAAACTGTGGCATTTTATATAGTGAATTTCCTGCTGTATTAGAAGGATGAAATGATGCTACCTGGATCTCAAATTCAGATAAGACAAAATCAACTATAGGATACGTGTTCACCCTTGGTGGAGATGTTGTAACTTGGAAATCTACTAAAACAAAAATAATGGAGAAAAGGACAATCCTGCTAAACCAAATGTCAACTTTGGTTGACGCAAATGATCTAATGAAGTAATTACTGCGGTCATTTCCAAAGCCGATGTTATGGCCAATATGAAAGAATGAGTGCTCAGGTGTTACCAGGCATATACATACAAACAAAATGCTGATCCTTCTACGCTCTAATAGGGGAAGAAGAAGAAAATATATATTTTGACAATTTTTTGAGAAAAGAGAATGAAACCGACACCTTTTGTGTCTATACATTGTGATTGCCAAGTGATAATAGCCATTGTAAAGCGACAATAGCAATTGTAAAAAATGAAATTTTTAATGGTAAAAAGAGACGTTTTATTGAGACGTGACGTGGTAAATCAATTGCTAGAAGATGGAATCAAGTCCATCGATTATGTAAAGTCAGAAGTGACTTTGGCACATCTTTTGACCATACATCGAGGGGAAAGTGACTTAAGTCTGATGGCAACCCAACCTATGTGATTGTCGATCCTATGAATTAGATTCGTATGGGTACTAACAAGTCATTTATTGATCTAGTGATGCAATATTAAAAATTTTCATCTCTCCTAAAGTAAGAATAGTGCAAGACTGCAATGAAAAAGAGGCTGAGCTAAGCTCTTAACAAATTCCATAACCATTATTTGTGGTGTATTAACCTATCACTTGATGGAATCATCTATATAAGTGTAGAGTGGGGCCGCTCCTGTGAGAATTATAAACCGAGCACTCGCATGGCCTATACAGCCGCGTTGAACAACAAAATTTGTGGGATTGGTGAAAATTATAATTCATAAAAAGAAATTCTTGGTTCATAGAAATTTCAAACTTCACCAATGATTTCGTGAAGTATATTTCATTATTTCTAGCCTGTAGGTCTGGTTCGTAGCCTAACAAGCACCCGATCCGATGCATTACTCTCCAATAACTCAGCATTAGTCTTTCATTTCTTTTCAAAACCTTTTGAAATATATGGGGAATTATTGCATAATACAATAAGTTATAATATATTGAAAGTTATTGTTTTTATAACGATTTTTTACCGTCATTAAATTCTAACGATTTTGTAACGTTTATAATGGTTTTGTAACGGTCTCGACTATTATCAATTTGCAACGTATTTGCAACGTTTTTCAATTAGAAGCAAGAATTGATGATGGAAAATGGCTCCCTTCCTTTTTACTACAAATTATTACTCTAAACATAATTGAAAAGCCATGCATGATATTTTTGTTTTTCTTTACATATCTTTCATTTTCTTACTGGATTATACATATAACATTCTTGTTCCGTCTATTATTCTATGCTAAATAAACAAGAGTGTCCGTCGTATCTTAGAAGAATAGTCGCTAAAGCCTATCGCACTCCGAGGAGCAAATTTATCCTTAAGAAAGAGTACTTGCACGCCTCAAACAGTCAACTTATTTTCTCATCTTTTTCAACAGATTTCCATCAATTTCTTATTTTCCATATCATCTAATATTTTCCCAACAGAAAATAGCCATAGTGAGAGAAAGAAAGCTATCTCACACCGAAAGGTTGTGGCTTGCCCGTCAAAGCATAGAAACGCTATGGAAACGAAGGAAGAGAGCACCAAGTTTTGACAAACGAAAAGAGGGAAAAGCAGCTTTGACCACATCCTAATCCCCGCCATCCCTAGCATAGACACAGCACCATCAACAAAAGAAAACTCGAGATCACAATCGAAACTTCGAAATTTGGAGGTAAACACTACAAATCACAAAACCAACTGGTGCCCATCATCCCTGAACATGACCAATTGACCATCGCCCGCTGATTACGACTAACAATCCAAGTGAAAACTACTAATCACAAAAGTACTCCTATATATCAGAACTTATGACGGTTCCCTCATCTCCTGCACATCATCCTTGACAACACCGAAAACTATAGGACAAATAACCTCTTCCCATCTCTCACCCAACCAATAGGAGGGGAAAAAACAATGCAAAGTCTAAGTTTAAATACAAAAGGAGTGGAGGAAGGAATCAAGTCACGACCTTTATCTGCTTACGATAGGAAGGAAGATCCCGTAGCGATGGAATGAGAGAGAAGTAATTACCACAGGCACGGACGAAATGAAAAGTTATCAACTCGTGAATATGTGTCTAATTTCTTCAACAAGCGCAATGCGGAGACCAGATGAGGATAAGATCGCAAACTCAGCACCGAAACCATGTAAAAACCGCAAACCACAAAGTCATTGATGTGAATACGAAACCTCCATGATGCACCTGATATTTAGAAATGAAATTTACACTTGTTTCTAGCCGGAAAAAAGAATCGCCCACCATCAGGTTTAGTTCTTCAGAGACGACGAGATGTCCTATGCATGTCCGGAAAAAAGGTTTAGGATATAGATTGATCTCATCCAATTGACAGAGAATGTAACTATAAGCTTGTTTAGAGGTGAATTCAGTATGTGTCAGTGATTTTCCTCAGTGGTCGTTGTTGAAAAAACAAAACAATCTAATAAAGAGTTCTCACACACCGAGCACCAAATAGAACCCATTGTACAGAGTAATTACCACAAGGATATGATTTTCTGAGAAAAGTACAGATAAACCACTCAGTCTAACCTCTATGAAGACCAAGTTCCACTTGCCCATCTTTTGTCACCGACATCATAACAATAACATTGGCATATTACTTAAATCAAGTAGTTCTGATATCTGGATACAACTCAAGCTTCTGAGTTTTCCTACGGCCACGGAAAAGGCTCAGTGTTATGGTTTCAACGACAAAAGACACCTGTTTCTATACTAATAAGATACCGACACCATTGATTTTTCACTTGGATGTCTAAAACTAACTAAACAAGGTGAAGTAGGAATTATGCTATCAATAGGGACGAAAGACTAATTTGTTTGGCACTATAGCCTTATCATGTGTTTAAGTTAAACCAAAATCAGTCGACCCTTGGCAAAGCCAAGCAACACTAAAAACGTAAGCTCGAAAAGTTCCCTAAAAGAAGTGCTAGTCAAATGCTCTATGCCTTGGAACAAAAGAAAACATGCTCTACGCCTTTTAAGAAATAAGCAATTGTTAATTCTAAGATTGAATATAGGCTGTTGTTGTTAATTTCAAACGTTCTGTAGATATCAAGAACGAGTTAAACCAGGTTCATCGCCCAGTAAATAAATCCTCACTTCCAGGACTAGTTCAGATAATGGAACTTAAAAACTACTAGTCACAGAGCAGGGGGCACAATTCATGCATGAAGCATTATCATAATCAATTTTCCAAACAGAAGTTAAGAAAATGGAAGGTACTGAGCAAAGAAGAAATGCACATAATCCCTCCACAAAATTATTGCAAAATTTAGTATTGCGACTTACAAATATCATCCAGAGGGCAGATGTATATTTGACAGTATGTACCATCTTACAAGTATGGAACCAGCAAAACGCGAAAAAAAAAAAAACACATTGTTGTTACACAGGCATGCCTAATATGGTTTAGACTATGAAATAATCACAATGCTTAAGATTCTACCTCAAATATCCCGAACCGACCACTATGCCAGCTGCTTCACCACTTCCAATTCCAAAGCCCTTAATCCGTCGCTTACAATTCAAACTCGTCTTCAAGCTTCAAAGCTTCAGCTGCCGCCTCTTCTTCCTCATCGTCAATAGCGAAATAAGGATTATGAGCCTCGGGCCTGAACTTGTACCCAGTAAACACATAGAATGCCAGCGTCGCCAACTCCGCGGCCACCACGCTCGTCCAGAGATACTTATACGAAGTAATGGTCTCCAGCGCATACACCACTACGCGCGTGAAGTAGATATAGCATATAACCACAATATAATACTGCCTAAACAGGGTCAACTTCATCAAGTTCACCGCCGCCTTCCCATCAGTTCGCGCAGCCTCACGCAAGTTCTTAATCGACCAGACAATTGGGAACAGAACCGCACAACAGCACACCACATCGACCAGCAAAAACACCTGCTTCCAGGTGAGCGACTCCTGACCGAAAGGCCCGGTCTCGTCGAGCACCACCTGGGCGATATTCGCAACAACCTGGAGCGGGATAACGATCATCAGAACCTTCTTCTCCTTGTCCTGCAGGTAAGGCTTCAAAAAGGACCACCCGGTACCGATCAACACGATCAAAGTGAAGAGGGTGATCCCCTTCAAGAAGCTGAATATATAGAACAGCACATCCCAGCCATGCGCAGTCCCCGTCCGCTTAATGATCCACTTATCCTCCGCCTCACACAGCAAATTCAAACCCTTCAACAGCACGACCGCCAGCATGAAGAAATGGATCTTAAACACGGTCAACCGTTTCTTATGCAGGACGTAGACCCAGAGGCCGGCGAGCACGAAGTAGATCAGCGAGAAGAGGAAGTAAACCCAGGGGAGGACGGTCTTGCCCGCGGAGAGGTAGTCCTTCCGGCCGCTCTTCCCGTCGAGGTTGTACATGGCGGAGCGGACGTCCATGGACACGCGGAGCTGCTGCTGCTGGAGGCAGTTGGCGAACACGAGCGTGTACTGGTTGGAGTCGTCCAGCGTGAACTCGGCGCCGGCGCTCGTCCGCGTGCCCAGCTTGTCGAAGGTGAGGACGCGCTTGACGTAGTCGGACTGGAGGGCGCAGGCGATCTCCCCCTCCTCCAGCTGCTTCCGCACGTTCAACCAGGAGTCCCCGGTGCAGAGGAAGAACCCGACGCCGGCGAGCTCGGCGGGGCCCGGGGGGCGCGGCTTCATCGGCAGCGAGACGCCGGAGACGTTGAGCTCGAGGCGGCCCCGGTGGGTGAACCCGAACTCGTCGAGCGGGATGGTGGGCTGGCCGTCGGATCGGATCTCGAAGAACCGGATCTCCGCGACGGCGGCCGAGGCGAGGAGGACGAGGACGACGAAGAGGATCGGCGGGAGGAGGAGGCGGAGGAGGAGGGGGGTGCCGGGGATCGCCATGGCCGGCGGCGGCGGCGGCGGCGGATCTCGAGATCGGAGAGGTCTGCGATCTGATTCGGGGACGAACCACCAAAACGCAGTGAGAGAGAGAGAGGGAGGGGATGGAATGGCGTGAGGAGGAGGAGACGACTTTGGGTTTTATTCCGTGTACCACCAAAAAGGAAACAATTAATTAAAAATCGAAATTAGTTCACCAAAAATCTCAAAGCTTATCAAATCAGTACAATCGAGCCCTTTCGTTGATAACGGATTTTGGAAATTTCGGGACTCGATTGGGCATTTTGAAAATTTTAGGGGCTTCATTGTACTTTTTTTTTTAAAGTTTCGGGGCTCGATTGCATTTTCGCAGCTAGTTTTTACGGCGCACTTGTTCATTAAAAAAATTAAGAGAATTTTAAAAAGGAAAAGGCAGAGTTTCTCAGTGACGACTTTTCAGTTCGCGGGAGGGGGGGGGGGCGACGACTTGGAAGTTTCGGCATCCACCTGGCGAATTTACTGTCTTGGGCACGCGGATTTGTCGGAATCACGGTCCTGCGCGGCACCGCGGCGCGGCGGAGGGAAGGGCGATTTCGGGATTTCCCGCGAGGCCGATTCGTCGACGACCGACCCTGGAAGGGGACTCGGAAGGGAAGCCTCGGGCGCCCCTCTTTCGTCATTTCACGACGAAATAAAAGAGAAGGAGGAGGGGAGTGACGTCACCGGGGGGACCGAGCTGTCGTAGGCGCATTAAGAATCCCGAGTTAAACTTGGATTGATATCCGACTTAATGGTTAAGATTAAGGCCGTATTAGGTCGCTAATCTTGTCCTTAATTACTGTCCCGATCATGGACAACAAGACGAGGGTCAATGGTAGGTTTTAAATTAATCGAGAATTTAGTCCCGTTTTGCGTAACGTTGGATTATTTACTTATTTCTTTCTTTTTTTGTTTTTTTTTTCGGGTTGTTGACTATTGCGTATCGAGACGACGGCGACAACGGTACATTCGTGGGGGTTAGAAGAAGACGGTGTGAATTAGCGGTTCATAACGTAAATTAGCGTCCCTCGACGAAGGTTAAACCTAGGGGTCATGCGGCAAATCACTTGCGCCTTCCATTCAGGACAGCAGAGAGTGTCGAACTTGTCGCTCGGCGTGAGGAACCTTTACTCGATTCACGTAAAACGGAGTGATCCCGTATGTTCTTTGAAATTATCCGAACCAAGAAAAAGATAAATTCGGATACGCTCGTATCATAAGGAGATAATGCGGAGTAGCATATTGTTATAGAGTGGCATCTACTTCATCTGTTGCGAGTCTTGCAATTATACATATCTTTATTAAAGATTGGCGGGGTCGGATTTATTTATTTATTATTATTATTATTATTTTCTCATGGAGGTAAACTCCATTTTCCCTCGAGAGCCAATGATGGATACGAACCTTTTCTAATAGGGTCGAGGACGATACGAGGAAATCGTCCGGGCAAAGACAAAGTCACACATCGCTCGGGGTGTGCACGAGCGAGGCTGCATATATGTCCCGTTTCATGTTAGGCGAGGCCGGCTAGACCTCCAATGTTTTTTTCAGCGTGTCTTGCGCATCTATATGTAATTTACCTCTGTCCCTCAAGCCTGGGGGTTAGTTTCACCGATTTTTACCGGGGACTTTTTCCTAATTCATCGCTTGGTTTAAAAAAAAAAAAAAGGACGACAAGATCTGGTAAAGAGGGAGTAAGAACAGCAAATATAGAAGAACAAATGGGCCTTAAAGTCCATCGAGTTGAATTGCATTTTATTGGGCCCATTGCAATTACATTCTGGTAAATAGGCCGAGGCCCATGGGTTTGAGGAGGGCCAGTTGAATGGGCTTTGCTCTTCAGCTTTGGGCCTCTGATCGGATCTCTTTGTGAGGAGTTATCCGAGGACCTTTTAGCCCCACAAGAGTTTCAAATGTAGATGTCCGAGTTGCAAGGTAAAGAAATTTGTATGATAAATAAATACATTGGGGACTTGATTCGACCTATCGAGTCGGGCCAAGCGTAGTCCGAGCCCGGATATGCCTGTTTTGGGCTTTCTAGCCCGGTGGAGCCGGAGCACTGGGTAGGCTCATGTTGAGGTTTGCCATTAGGTGCGGGAAGCTATTAGATGTATCCGGTTCATCCGATCACAATACCCCCAAAGGTGCCAAATCTGACGAGCTCCATGTAGATTACCAATATGCATTACGCTCGTAGCAATTAGGTGCACTCAGATGTTGCCCACATCAAGTGCAAAGTTCATTAATTCGAGTATTGTATATATGGCGACTGCAAGACTTTTTAGCTAAGATTTTGTGAAGTTTCTTGTCTCTCCTGATTTAGATTTTGCATCGGTAATTATTCACAGAACCGAGTCAGGTTTTGGACCATGTAAAGTTTATTGTCGGTCCTCAACTGCTCAATTTTCCGCATCTCGTCGTTGTGAATATTTTCTTAACACGACAAAATCCAAGAAATCTATCTATCACTATGGCAAAAAAAAGCACAAACGTAGTATGTGCTTGATATGAGAATTTATACCCTCACATCATATGGATCAAAGCAATTAAGCCTAACAAGCGCCACAGACATATACCTTAAAAACCCTCAATTTTTTAACCTTTTTTTTTTTTTTTTGGAAAAATCATCAATTGTGTTTCATTTTCTAAAATCTTTTTTTTTTCCAAAGCTTGAAAATCATAGTTGCAGACAGTTTGCCATTGCCAATTGCTAACCACCACATGATGCAATCAGAGTAAAAAGAAGAAACAGAGGGTCTCTCTCTCTCTCTCTCTCTAACATGTCCATATGACAACACAGCTCATACTAGAACGGTCTTCATTAAATTCCGCTTCTGAATTCTGACATATTCAAAAGATAAGATTTTCTATGCTATACATAAAAACCCCATCATCCTGTTGGGCGATGCAGACCAGAAAAAAGATAAACCCAACCTTAAACGGTGGCATCTGCTCAAGAACCTCACACACAGCTTGGCCATAGCTTATCTGGTATTGCTGCTTCATTCAATGGGAGTCAACCCCTCAAGAAGTTCTTTCTCTCTCTCTCTCTCTTCTTTTTGTCACTCTTGAAACCGGTGAAATTGAATGTTGAACCCATGTATGGCGAAATCCAAATTGAAAAATTTCAAGTTTTTATGCTGCGATCGTGATGATGCCTCGGGATGGAACAATTCTGACGAAGTAATGATGACTTTGTTAGGGGGAGAGGTCAAACCTTGAGACTTCCATCGGTTCAGCTTCTTTCTCACACGTGGAGCTCAAGAACAGACGGTGGCACTGAAGAGAGAAAATGTCACTGGGTGAGAAATCTGGTGGCTCAATACAGAGAGAGAGAGAAGAAGAGACATCTGGCTGTTGTTTGACTTGTTTCTTTACTTGATTAGAAACCAATGAACACACGGCGTTGACTTTTGTTGCCTCTGAAATTTGTGGTTGCGGATATTAATGTGCGGTGAAATTTGGGAGAATCTCCTTCCTTAACATCATTGTGTTTATAGAAGAGAAACGTTTGGTTGCTGCTGCACACTGTTGGACGCTTGCTGTGGATTTCAATTATGTTTGTTCCTCCTGTTACCTCAGTGTCCACTGCCTTATTTTTCATGCGATTTCATTTGATTTGATTCAATATAGTTGTGTCCATGCATGCATGCACATTTTGGATTGGGTGATGTATATTTTCCTCCAACCAAGCCTAAGACCTATAGGCTTTAATAAGAATCTACAATGATACGAGAAAAAGAAAACCCGAGTTCCTCTCTCTCTCTCTCTATGGAGCCCGTGACATGGTATTGGCTTGGAGTGTGGCAATGGGGCACACGGTGGAGACGTCGGTGGACGTGAGAGGTCGAGCATTGAAGATGGCATCGACACGGTGACAAAGGGAACATAGCGGTGGTGCAATAGCCATGGGTAGGTGGTTGGGGAGGAGGGAGGGAGGGAGAGGAATATTTCAACAATCCTTTTCACGTGCAAGTCAAATTAGGAATTACTTGTGAAATCTTGTACTTAGATAGATAGAGACTAAACCTAGGGATGTATCATAATGAGGCCCAACTACATACATATGACATAACCTATCAAAACGGCAAAATTTCAAATGCCTATCGCATCATGATGCCTCGGTCAAGTAATTTATTGCCGAATTCATGAGAACATTCAATTCCCCGTGGACTTCGCTTTGATTTGATCCTCGCGGTGTAATCATGTTCCTCAAAACTTGTTCTTCTTCCTTTTTTTTTAATAGTCATTCGTGAATTTCCACCGTCGGAAATTTATAGTCTTTTTTTTTTGGTCAGCAGAAATTTATAGTCTATCAGTTGCAATTTTTGTTGTCCTGGTTTAATAATATCCTAGGGCCCCAAAATTTATCACCATTCCCAAGTGCACGTGACTACAAGCACGAGCAACACACACGCGAAAAAAGAAGAAGAGAATAATAAGTGTACCGAAAGTTCTAAAACTTATTACGAAAGTGAAATTTAGTTTTAAAACTTTTAAAAAGTGCAATCAAGTCTCAAAACTTGTCACGAAAGTGCAATAGAGTTCTAAAACTTTCGAAAAGTGCATTTAACTGAATGACTTGATTGGACCAATTTGTGAAGTTTTAGGGTTTGATTGCACTTTCATGATAAGTTTTAGGACTTTCAATGCACTTATCCAAGAAGGAAACTTTGAAAGTACTATTGAAATTTGATAATTCTTGCACTTTCGAGGCCATTTTAGAAAGGCTAATGTTTTGTCTATCTCTACCTCTAATTGATGGGTCTATATAATGAATATTATACATATAAAAATCAGATCGAAAATAAATACGAATAATTTCGATATTTGGGACTCACCAATTGAAAGGTTTCCTCCGGTTGGAGGAAATGCAACTCAATATATAAGAGTAAAGGGATAATACCACTACAGGTTCCTGAAATTTTTAAAATTGTTCAATCTGATCTCTCGAATTTTTTCTGTGCAATTGGGTCCTTAGACTATAGACTATTTTTTTTGTCCAAGTGGCCTGCTCCGTTAAAATTATGAACAAAGTTGCCGTTAAGTTGCCGTTGCATTTTTTTTTTAAATTACATCAATTGTAAAAATACTTAAAAACAAATTAAAATTAAAATAAATTAGAAACAAGGGAATCTGCAAAAGAAAAGAAGAGATGACAAGGGGGAGAGATGACTTGCGACTTGTGACATACAAGATCTAACTTGTGGTTGTGCGTCCTCGCCCTAAAGAGGCCTAATGTCGCGCAAATCCGCCATGGCTAGGTGATAGCTGGGGTTATGCGAACACGGCAAGTGACTGCTCGAGTCGCACGAGCCCAAGCTAGATTTCGCTTACCTTGGGGTCGTGCAACCACAGCTCATTGGAGCCCGCCCCGCCCCCCCCCCCCCCCCTTCTTTTTCTTTGTCTTAGGGTTCACTTTTTTCAAAGAAATTTATAAATGTAAAATTTTCAATTAATATTGACATGGCACTATTGTGTCAGTCCACGTCAAAGTTTCCATTTTCAATTTAATGAAATGACCAACTACGACAATAATAAATATATAATTAAGAACTCAATCTTGACACCTAAATTTTGGGCGACTCATTTAGGAATTTATTGCATTGGAAAATTAAGGATCAACCCCGGCCCCTAAAAATAAATAAATAATTCATTACATTTAGTTATTAGGAGTATTTGCATTAGTAGTAATTTGATAAACTTATGAAAATTGCATTTAATTTGGACCGGCGGTGGATGGACTGAAATAAAAGGCTCTGAACTTAATTGAATCAAGTTTGGCCAAGCCCTGGGAATCATATTGGCCAAAATTTACTTAGATAAGGGGGTTTCTGAACTTAATGAGTTGGGTTAAACCCGGATGATTGCATTAGAAATAGGAACTGATAAAAAAGATTTGAGCTTAATGTTAATAGAGTCCATTACTTCTTCAATATGGCTGAAAATAAACCCGACTAATAAGAGTTAGACCTAGATTTTCACTATAGATACATGTTAGGTCTTCACAATTAAGGAGGTTGGTCACATTGGAAACACACTAGAGAAAACACACATAGAGAAGGAGAGAGAGGGGGCCACGACCGAGTACTTCACGAATCTTTGAATTAGGTAATTATCCAAACCGAATTTGAATTCAATATATTATTGTCTATTTTGATGTTATCGCAATCTAATTTGATTATTCTGAGATTATAGACGTGACCAAATTAGGAAAATTTCCTAATTTAAAACATGCGCGAGATCGATAATTCGATCTTTGGGTATTAAGATTGGGTTATGGATTACGCAGAAATCGGTAATTCAATCTTTAGGCATTAAGATTGGCTTGTCGGTTTATTTGTTCCTAATTTGAGTTGAATGGACATATTCTATGATTTTGAGCTTATCTTATCACTTCTCCAATTTGCTTGATTTATTTCTTGATAGATTAGGATAGTTATCTAGATTAGATTGCAAGTTTATATAGTATCTAGCTAGTTAGGATAAGATTCTAAGTTCGGATAGGGTTTATTTTGAATTTTTTACTAATTTGAGTTAGACAATCCTTCACATTAGGTAATTTATTTTTATTATTTATTTATTACGAATTTTAATTAAAAAAACCATAAAAATAACAGGTGCATATCATATAGATTTAATTGTATTAATGGTGCATCACTATTTGCCATGTCATCAATGTCATGTCATCTTACCACGTCATCATTATATGTCATGTCATTATGCCACATCATCATGCCATGTCACCTTGCCACATCATCTTGTCATGTCATCATCGTATGCCATGTCATTGCCACGTCATCGCCACGTCACCATTCATACCATGTCATATTTTCTATGTCATTTAGTGATTGCATATTAAATTTATTTAGTTAAAAAAGGCCCAAAAAATTTAGAATTGGGTAATTGTCTAAAAACCTGTGGTTAGGCTAGGTTTATTATATTTAGTGTTTTTAATTAATCCGTGGTGTTTGAGTTTTTGCTTTCTAGCAATTTATCTATTTAATGCTTTAATTATTGATTGCTAATTTAATGATTGCGCATCCACATGATGACCCCTCACATGTTAGTGTCTAGGTTTAAATTATGCAAAGTTGCTTGCAAAACATTTTTTGAAAATAAAAGAGAAAATGTACCAAAAGTACGTTAGAGTAATCTAGAGTAATCAAGTTTTGGAATCCATTGAATCTTTGATTCGTAAAAGTACATTAGTACACTCACACGCTTCACTTGGGTTTCTAATCTCCACCAATAACTGATTAGTGGCAACTCCTAATTGAATTAATTTGCATGTTGAAATTGAACCCGAAAATTGCGTTTGGCATAGGTTTGAGAAATGTCGAGTTAAGTATGAGCCCAGTAATCCATTAGCCATTTTCTCCTCCCCTCAAAGGGAAGGTCACGACACCCAATTGCAAAATTCAGGGACTCGCTCTACCTTAATCTCTAAAAAAAAATATAGCGATATCATACAGTACAAGAAAATGATACTCATGTAAAAGAAGCATTTTATCTTCCAAATGCATGCATTTATGATAAGTTAAAGAGTTTCCACCTAAACATTATGCAAACTCAAAAGACCAAAAAAATAAAACTAGAATCAATCAGCATCTTGATACCGATGGGGCAATATAAATCCCAAGCCGGGGCGATGGTCGCTTCCTATTGCCAAATATAAATCCAAACACGAGGTTTGGGAGAGTCCATGAATGCATCCAATAAATGCACGTCTCTCTCTATACTGTTGACGTAGACCTCTCTCTTTATTCGACCATCAATGACATTTGTCCTCATGTTTGGCAAATCGGGGTTCTGCAACAAGCGGTCTAAGCCATTGGAACTACACCACATTCAAGAGTTGATGTACCTAAGCTAATTAAGAGCTGATATAAACCGATCGAATCAAACGTGTCCCTCGCAAATCATTGTTTCCGGGAGAACTTGCAAGGTTTCTTGATGCTAAGATTTTGTTGAACAGAAAATCCAACCCGAAAGTTTAAATAAATAGATAGGCAAAGAGCACATGGATATAAAACCCATCGAAAGGGACGGGGGTACTATTCCCGTGTTCTGTCCCTAAGATTGATGGATGGACAACGCGTGTCCTCTTGTAGACGCGATCCGATGGCCACGATGCTCCTCCCTACTCATCCTCCACTCACGCGGGAGATCGAGAATGGCAAGGGGTCTCACAAGGGGAATAAGTTGGGGCGAAATCTGACTCTGAAACCATTTCAAAGGGTCCAACCCAAATTTTAAAGTCAATAGGTGGAGGAAGACCGTATGAATATAACACCCATTGAAGTCCCATAAACAAAACAATGTAAGATACTTTAATATCGGCAACGAAGAAGAAAGAAATGTATCGTAAGAGCACATGCATAGTTATATATCAAGAGAGTGACATTAAAAGACAAATCTTATTAACAAGTTGATTGTATCCGCTAGAAATAAACGAGCTAAGAAAGTTAACCATCGTTCACATCACAAGACAATGAAACCCTTCAAGATTACTACAATTTTTTTTTTTATCTTTGATTGATGTACAATCACTGCATTGGCACTTGCTCTAAGAGAACTCTTCGGCATCGCACTCGAATCTTAGTCCATCACTCGCCTTACAAAAGGAACTCATCTGAAACCCTGAACAAATTCTTTCTCAGAAATCTCGAAAATCTTTGACAGCAGACACTTTGATATACTATGAGAACTATGGGTGTGTTTGGTTTGGCTTTGAGGGATGTTTTTGGACAAATGCAAAGACTTTTGGGCTAAAATGTGTTTTTTTCGAAATGTAAGCTGTATTTTAAAAACACATTAAGAAGTAACTTTGACTTAAGTGCCGTTTTATAAAAACTAAACTTTGTAAAGGAATTTTGCTAATTTTTTTAATAAAAAAACTCTTAAATTATTTGTGGGCGAAACTCAGCGGCTGGCGGGCCAAGTCAGCCGTTGGCCAATCTCCCTTGAGTTTAGGTGACCTTAGGCGTCGCGCGTCAGAGTGACTTGCTAGCAACCAGATCTGGCCTCGCCGGCGTTCTGTACCCTCACTGATGAGGTTGCAAAAGGTGAAGATATTTCCGGAATTATGAAAGTTAAGCGAGGGCAAAGTCGAAAGGAAAAAAAATTGTATTTGCATTCCGAAAATGCAGCATTCCAAAGCATATCTGGATCTGCCTTGTGTTAAAGGCTTTTAAAGGCCTTTGGAAATGTAATTTCATTTATCAAAATTCTTCAAAAAATTTGCCAAACACCATTTTAGAGCCCCAAAGAGCTTTGGCAATGTTTAACCAAACGCACCCGATGTACTCCTTAGTTGAATCGTTATACGGCAAAGAAAACACATAGATCTCGAGAGACATTGGCATGATCCGGGGACGGTGGTGATATGGTGGGGTATAACGCTGCTAACCCTGGCCAAGAGGGGAATGGGAGTCATGTGGTGAAGAGAGCCTGCAATAAATGGACTGGAGGTTTTGAGGGGTGGTGAATAATACTCTTCTCATTTATGAGTTTGGACAACTTCCCCTTAACCCATTTAGGATGAGCCTTTAACCTCATTTATGCTAAAAAGAAAGATGAAAACAATGAACAAAAACCTTAGAAAATGCTTCATCGGAATTTCTGGAAACCCTAGAAATTTACAAAATGCCAACAACTGTTCCGTACAAGGTTTTCTTATTTGGTGTGAAAGATGTTGTTCGATGGAAGCTCTGAACTAAGTTTCTCTCTCGATCTGTTCTCATCATGTGAGGTGCATATGTGGAGAGAGTCTAGAGAGTCCAAGGAAGACTTTGCTGAGCTCTAATGTTTTCATTTTTCACTTGAACCCGAGTGGGTTCAACCACCACCTACCTCTCTAAATCTCCCCAATATATGCTTAAATGGACACCATCAATTCATTTATCTGCTCCTCCTTTTAGCCTGTTCCAGCTCTCTCTCTCTCTCTCTCTCTAACATGAACATTACTAGTCCCACACGCTTTTACTGATAATAAAACCACCACCAGACAACATCAGAACACAGCATCAAAGTTCACAAGTTGGTTTGATGGCCATGGTGGTCTGGTGGTCCGTTTGACTCCCCCGCCCAACACTTTCAAGAACAACCGAAAGAATCCTTGAAACCGCAAGAAACCCCACTTCCCAAGTTCTTTTCCCCCTTCTCCTTATAGCATTTCTTAAACTCAGTCTTAAGGGGGGGAAAAAAGACCGAGTTCAACGGAAGCAAGAAGTGCCCTAGGAAAAAAATCCTGAACCGTAAGCCCCGAATGCTCCTTAGCTGACGTTTCGCGGCGAAGGTGACGGCAGCGGCGGTGGCGGATTTTGGGTAGGATATGGACGGAGTAGCAGCGAAGTCGAGCAGGTTGCTCACATTATGCGGGAGGCTCACGAACGAGGTGGTGAGCTTCTTCGTCTTCTCTCTCCTGGACCTGCTGGACACCGTCCTCTGCCTCGCCTTCAAGGTCTTTGACTTCGTCGCCGAGGCCGAGTGGAAGCCCTGCTACTGCTCCTCCTCCTCCGCCAGGGAGGCCATCCACGGCGCCGGAGGCGGGGAGATCCTGGTCTCCGAGCGGGGCGAGTCCAAGATCGTGTGCCTCAGCTCGGGCGGCGGCGGCAATGGCAACGTCAATAAGCTCCGGCTTGACCAAGTGTCCGACACGCTCTACACGAGGCCTTCGGTACTCCACGAGGTCTCAGAGTCCATAAAGCGGTTATACGAGAAGAGGGGGAAGCAAAGGGCGGCGAAGGCCACGACGGTGTTCGCAGTGGACTCCGCCGTGGTGGAGATGCTGCAGGGGAGGATGGTGGGGAAGCAGCCGCATCCGATCCCGAGGTGGTCAGACTGCGACTGCGAGGATTGCACGTCGTGGACGTCGCGGGGGAGGAAGAGCCTCTTTGTCAAAGTTGCCGGAGATAAAGGTACGATTTTGTTATTTTTGGACAAAATCATAAGAAAACCAAGCATTTCTACTAAAGGCTGTAGAAAAAAAATTAACAAATTTCACACAGAATGCCAACACACAGAATCTCTAGTATGTATTTTGACACGAGGAGGTGTCGAAGATCGAATTAATTTGTGGACAGTTTTTGGAACATGTTGGACTTACAATGTTTGGGCATCTCGTTTTATTTGCTCACAAGGTTTATCTTAACTTCAATTTTCGGTTGGATCAGCGTAGATAGACGATCCGATATCAGCATTGTCATGTCCATCTCAACTCTTATAATCACGGGTCATAATGCACTTCCATACTAAGAGATCCAAAATTCGCACGCCCGTTCTCATCACTAGAATGAGGTAACTTAGAAGACGATGATATTATGAATCAAGGTAAATATTCGGATTTTGTTTGATTCTAGATTTGGCATCAACAATTAACATTGTTGAAATACCAATAAGACGCTATGATGAAGACAAAAGGGTGCTCATCATAACCCTTTGGCCTGTTGCAAATTGCCATAAAGAATTTGTTTGTTCATCCGAAACCAACGTACCCATCTAGTATCATAAAGCAAGAAATAGAAAAACGTGGGAAATATCGCAAGCTTCTTAAGCATTAATTAATTGTTTTTTAAACATATTTTTAGATTCTAATGGTAGATCATAAGTAGGAAGAGATCCCCACCAAAGAAGCCTACGCGTGGTTGGGAAACTAAAGCTACTTCATCTTCAATTCCGTAATATCCCCACCAAACTCAAACTATCACATCGAATGTTTCACATCGGCACGTCATTCTTTATAGCTGATTTGGATTGACAACGATGCTTTATTGCATTGACCTCAATAATAGTTCATGTCGGGATCTAATTGTACAAACTTAAAAAGGTTGGGAGCGACGCCCGCGATCGACGGATGGTGCATGAGGTCCAAATCGCAATTTTTTTGTAACCGAGGGACAAATTGGATTTAAGTTTAGCTGGATAAACAATTTTTGAAGCCAACATTTGAGAACCGCACATAAAATTTCTAATGTAGATCCGCAACAATACTGCTAGCACAAACATAGGAAGTGAATGTGTTTTGGCCATCCACACTTACAGTAGAATCCTATTTGATGAAATGCGATGATCTTCAATTGATGCGTTGCTTTTAACAGGATTGTCAGATAAACCCCGTGAAGACGTGCTCTTCATTCATGGCTTCATCTCATCCTCTGCGTTCTGGACGGAGACGCTGTTCCCGAACTTCTCCGACACGGCAAAGTCCGCATACCGGCTCCTGGCCATGGATTTGCTCGGGTTCGGGCGGAGCCCGAAGCCGAGTGACTCGCTCTACACGCTGAGGGAGCACTTGGACATGATCGAGCAGTCGGTGCTCGAGCCCTACAAGGTCAAGTCCTTCCACATCGTGGCTCACTCCTTGGGCTGCATCCTGGCCCTCGCTCTTGCCGTCAAGCACCCCGGCTCGGTCAAGTCCCTAACCTTGCTCGCACCGGTGAGTTCTTTCTTTGCCTCACTATAGAAGACATAAGATATGAATCGAGCCGATTGATATCATTTTCTTACGCTTCTAATAGACGATAGCTTGCATACTCAATTCATATTGCATTCGGAGGTTGCTTTTTTCTTTTTCCTTTCTTCGATGACCCTAAGTAGTGTGTGGACGCATGACGCAGCCCTATTACCCGGTGCCAAAGGGCGTGCAGGCGACGCAGTACGTGATGAGGAGGGTGGCGCCGCGGCGGGTATGGCCGCTCATCACGTTCGGTGCGTCACTCGCGTGCTGGTACGAGCACATCACCCGGGCGTGGTGCCTGCTCGTCTGCAAGAACCACCGGTTGTGGGAGTTCCTCACCAAAGTCATCACCAGAAACAGGTGAGTCAGTCTCGTCTGTCCTTACCAACCTTATGATACATGACCATATACTAATTCAAACTAGAAATACCCAAATTTGTGTTGCTTACGGAAAGGGAGCTAAACAACCCTTATCTATTTATTGTTGAGTTGCTCTTGACGGAAGTCTTTTCTGCTTGAAAATAGAATATTTATGTCCTATTTAAGTTAAGCATCTCTCATTCATCGTTAATGACAAATGCTAAACAAAATTATGGTGCCCATTTACGGAGAGCCATGGTTAGAACCCAATTGGAATCGGTCATTATGACTGTTCAAGTGACTGAATCATTGACTGGTCCGATGGTCAAGATGATACATGATCAGGTCATTTCCTACAAGAGTGGTCTCTAAACAGTTCTATCGACGCATATTATTAGTGTAACCTCCGAAAACATACGTGAAACATGCAGGATCAGGACATTCATGTTCGAGGGGTTCTTCTGCCACACCCACAACGCGGCGTGGCACACGCTCCACAACATCATCTGCGGCATGGCCGGCAAGCTCGATGGCTACCTAGACACGGTGAGGGACCGCCTGAGGTGCGACGTGACCATCTTCCACGGTGAGGACGACGAGCTCATCCCTGTCGAATGTAGCTACAGTGTCCAGAGGAGGGTCCGCCGAGCCCATGTGAAGGTGATCGAGAAGAAGGACCACATCACGATCGTGGTAGGGAGGCAGAGGGTGTTCGCGCGGGAGCTCGAGGAGATTTGGAGGAAATCGAGTGGCTGAATCGATCCCCCTAGTCTCTAGTCGTCACGAAGGAGCTGAGAAGTACATGATCATTCATTACCAATAGATGTTCTACCAAAATCAAAATTGGATTGAGCTGAAGTTGCTCAAAATTGGATAGGCCTCAGTCCCCTATTGTTTGATGTGTGAAATATGATCAATTGCATATATTAGCAGAGTTGATGAGTTTGAACTAAGTGTCGCATTCGAAATCTTCATATTTTCAAATGTTGCGCCCACAAACTTTTCTTTTCGTTTCCTATATATTCACTCTTGGTTCAGTTGGATTTATGCCAGCCATGAAATAGTTGAGATGTGGCAAACGCAAGTCCCACTCGTTATCCTTCTTTTTGCTACCGATCTTGTTCTCCGGCTAAGTATTCATGATAAAGTTTCTTATGCGTTTTGCAAAATCGATTTACTTGTGACCAACTCGCATATCCACAGCACTCGAATTACATTACCATTCCACCATAAAATAAATTAGCGAATTGCAATTACCAAAAGCAAGAGAGGACTGATCACCATTGAAACCAACGAGTTCTGATATCTACACAAGCCCCGATTGTACGTCTTGACGAAACAAGAACTGACAAGGGTTTTGTTTATTTGAGTGAAAGAATTTGGGATAATAATACAAATAGTCCCCAAACTTTAACCCAATAGACAATATATCTCTCAACTTTAAATTTGTTCAATGTGGTCCTTGAACTTTAACCTAATGTGTAATATTGTTCATGAACTTTTAATTTGTTCGATGTGGTCCCTAGACTTTTGGTACCTGTTCAATTTAGTCTCTGGACTATATGAAAATGTTCAATGTTGTTGACAGTCTAGGGATCACATCGAACAAATTAAAAGTTCAGGGACAACATTGTAGATTGGGCTAAAGTTCAGGGACTGCATTGAACAAATTCAAAGTTCAGAGATCGCATTGCATGTTGGGCAAAAGTTCAATGACCATTTGAGTCATTTACATAAATAATTTTTCATGAAAATGTTTTTTAGACTTTCATGCGTTTGGTTTGCCGAAAATCATCAGTCAACGGAAAATCATTTACGACCAAAGAAAATATGCATACTTAAAGTTAAGAAAATGAATTTCCTAATTCAAAAATTACGAAAACATTTTCCTGAAAAATGATTTTGTAGAAATAATTTTCCTTTACTATGAAATTTTTTCCCAAATAAACACACCCTAAATTCCAAGTTAAAGGGGGGAATTGGTGACCACCAAAGATGAACATATAATCATGAGCTCTTGGGCCAACCCAATTCTCATCAAGCTCTTGGGCCAACCCAATTCTTATCAAGCCATTTTCAAACCAACATGACCCACTTCTTCTTTTGGCCAGAAGCACGACCCACTTAGAGTCTGACAATTCTGAATAAGTTGGATCGGACATCAATTGATGGTGCACCAGTTTCAGGCCATCGTTGAGTCAATAAGGGTTAATGTGGCCGAACTATTGGTGCTTCACATTTACTATGTTTGTACAGTGTGGAGCCCTCAAGTCAGGGTAAATTGAATTGCACCCACCATATTCTTTTGAAAAATCGATATTTTTTTTTTCACCGACAAGTATACTCAATTAAGAGTGAACGATGGTTCGGTTCCAACCGGAAACTAGATCGAACTAGCCGGTTTTGGGTGGTTCCTGATTATAACCAGCACTGTTCAACACCTTAATTGTTATTTTTTCTTTATCAAAGAGCCATGAGTATGTTGTAATAATCCATAAATTATAGGAAACTCCCACTAGTCAATGTGCAATCTCGGACTTTAACTCTATTTAAAAAGTCAAAAGGCAACATATTCCTTCCTTGCAGATCGAAGTGGGATCTCACACTTGGGCTCTATATTGTTTTTTCCCCTTTCGGTCATCCTAAAAAAGTGTCCCACATCGATCTGTAAGCGAAAAAAAACAATGCTGTCTTTTTAACTTTTAAACCATTTAGAATACAAAAGGTGGACATCTTTGCTTAGTCCTTATCCTCGAGAACTGGACCAGGACCAGTCCTTATCGGTCTGGTTTTGGAAGCAGGACCCATAAGGTTGGTTCCGGTTCCAAGCTGAGGACTAGCTCTCTCGTGAACCAATCATCCCTGTACTTAATATCGTCAATTATTTTTCACGGCTTAAGATTTTGGGAGAAATTATTGTTGAACTTAAACCCTATCAATCGGTGAGGCCAGGCGGGTTGAGCATCATAGTGCATAAAAGCGATGTCAGCTTTGATGGATGTTTGTATCGAGATTCGAACCTGTACCGCCCATTTTATAATGTATAATTTGATGTCATGCCACAGTGCAACATCCATTGCGCGGCACTCGACGTGTTTGAATTAGTCGTGGTGATGAATCAGAGATCGACCTAATATTTCAACCTAGTCTGGAAATCAGTATCTTTGACAACTCATGTGAAAAGGGTACGTACAAGACGTCATTGCGGACGTTTAAATTATCAAATCATGTCCGCGTTCGCTGTCTTGAGCTAGATCATGATCACATCAATGTCGTACGAACTCCCAATCTTAAATTGAATCGTGTCATCGCCATCAAAACCAAGTTCAAGGGACGCAAATGAAGAAATGGAAAACACTGGCACGTGCGAGAATACATAGAAGAAAGATTGTACAATTTGCATACTTTCTTTCAGGATTAGACAGAAAGAAACCCGATACGGCTATATGACGTGAAGATGTCCGTCCATGTGCCTCACATGCATTTTCGGAGCTCGAAGCCTTAGATTTCGTATGCGTTTCTTGTCAATCGAGGAGTTTAGAAAAGTCAAAGAAGGTGGGGGAAAACAAAGAAACAAGAAAGAAGGAAAAATGAAAGGACCATACATCATTACTTTCTATGGTAAGTGCAAAAGGAACTATATATGACGACTTTCTGTTGGGGAAAAAAAGGGAATATGCCAAAGATGTGGGATTTTCACATCCACAACGAGTTTCGAAACAGAATTTTCCCAGATCGTAAAAGAAAAATTCACGATGGGACAAACCGGAAAACATTGCATGCATCGTAGACCACATATTTATTTGTCCTCACCTACTATTTCACTCTGTTCGATGATATAGTAACATCATGTTACGATGATGCAGTAACATAATGTCAAGATTAATCGTACATAATGATTGAGCTAGTGAAAAGGATAGGGCGAGTGCGAACGATCTATTTTGGATTCATCCAACGAAAGATGGCCAATTCATGCAGGACAAAGCTTTGCGACATTTGACAGGCGGCGTAAGGTATCAAATGACAGGCCACGAAGGTAATAGTTCCCGACTTTTTTGGAGCATATGAAAGGAAATCACATCTTGCCAATGTATGGAATCTTCGGCTCATGGTTTTGACACGTGGATAAAGGGTTGCCTTTCCATTTGCAGACGCAACAGCATACGCCATATCATATCAAGAAATGCCAATTCAGTTATAAACCTTTTAATTTGATTAATTTAATTTTAAATTTTTTAGCTATTTTTTAATTTAGTTATTTCGATCAATTTTGGCTACTCTTGATTGCAGAAGGAACTATTGATAAGTCTTTCGGATCACTCCTAAATTTATATGTTTTTTTTCCTTTTTTTTTTCTTCCGAGCATGGAGGACCAACCATCTGAAAACACATAAAACATATACTTATGCTTTTGACCTTTGCAAGCAGCCCTGACACAGAGTAGTTTGCACGCAGTTGATGAGATTCAAACGGATAACCTCTAATTTATAAACCGAAAATCCCTCAACCGTCTTAACCAACTGCGCCAATCTTGTGGGTTCATTTTTCTGTTTTTTCGTTTTTTGTGTGTAAGTGCTGCTACAATTAAACGGTGATTGTGCAGTGTCAGCAAGTGGAAATTACATTTGAGAGAGAGAGAGAGAGAGAGATCTGATTGTTCCAGTAAGTACAAGAAAAAAAGAAGAAGCAAAGTAACCTAACGAAGACTAATGATCCATACACAAGAAAATTCATGCATCAATCATGCATAGGCTAGACTGTGCTTTCCATCACAAAAATATGAAACGAGTCTCACGTTTCTCCTTGACAAATTAGCTCCTCAATCAACACTCAATTCAACAAAACAAGGACAAAACTCAAAGCGTAGGATTCTCTTACGACATCAATCTTTCCAATCATTTTTTCAACTGGAACCCCTGTGGACGGATTGCGCTTCGCATGCACGATGCCTAACTTAACAGACTGGAAAAACATTTTTTAAAATTTTTTTTATGTTACGTATAGCTGAGTTCATAACAAGATATGTGTAAATAGTACTGTCCTATTCTAAAATTTTTCGAATGAATCAATTAGTTCCATAATCTTGTAAATGGTGCTATCCTACTTTACCTTTGAACTTATGCAAAGTAAGTAGAGGAGGCGAAAATAGGTATTCGCTCAAATTCAACGGGTTAGGTGATATATGGGTTGTTTAGAAATATAAAAATAGGTTAAAATGGGTTTACAATATCAAGCCGCAACTAGATATGGATTTTAGTGGGTCCAAAACAAACTTACTTTCAATCCATTTCAGCCCATAAAGTTTATTAGCTAAATAAAAAAAAAAAAGATACGGATAACTGTCGACGTCGAAGAAGAGAGGGAGAAAGGGTGAAGAGAGCCCCATCAACGATGCCCCTTCGCCGGCGGCGATGTCGCCCACGATGACGGGTCTCACCGGCTGCATCGCCAGCAACAACGATGGTCTCACCAGCAACAGTACTACAAACAAAAACAACCATCTTCATCTCTCTGATCGTGCGTGGATCTCTCTCTCTCTCTCTCTGTCATCTCACGCGATGGACAAAGTAATAATGCAACGCTGCTCTCAATTAAAGGATCCGTTACCGATCTTGTCTAGCAATTACACAAGTCTCGGCAAAGCAGCAGGTCTTAGGATATGTTCGCGTGAGTTGCTCCTCGAGCTCAAACTCCTCATCACTTCTCGATTCTCAATTTCTGGTTCTCTATGCGAAGTTGATTATCTATCAGTGCTCTATGTGTCCGTGAGCCATCGGCCGTCGATGGCTATGTGGTTCGAACGATGAGGACCAATGACGTCAGCAATCAGCGGAGCGGGTGATGACGATGTGAGGAGCAGTGGCGCAATGGAAACAACGGCAGATTTCTTATATTTTTCGTTTATTTATTTTTGGAAATCTATTTGGCCTTTTTCGCTGTTTTTTGGGTGGATTTGAGTTGGATCTAGGTTGGGTTGGATATGGGCCAATATAGATGGCCCAATATGAGTTAAATGGGTGGATTTGGGTAGAACCATTAATTACCCACCCATTTGCCACCTCTAATTAATTAAATAATAAGTCTCATACATGGTCATCGGGAACTTTGGAAATGCTATTCATCATGGAGTGTCGCATATCTAAGAGTCATCGGTGACGAAGGCCAATTGGAGCTATTTGAGCACCTTGATGGCATTCTTTTTCAATCCTTAATTGGGAATAAACTTCTTCCAAATGGTCGTGCGATTGTTGACTTACAAATATGTACATCACTCGTATTTATGTTTAGTTGAATTTATATATAAGTAATGTCTATACTTGTAATCTACGGTCTTGAGGCTTGGTTCGAGAAAGTCTCTCTCAAATATGGGTAGAGAAGAACACATTTCTTCTTAAACAGAGCCATGTAACCAATTTGTTAAATCAGGAAAAGTTTTCAAACTGACTGACAATATGCATCTAAGTTAGAGCACTTCTATTGTACTTATCTTCTGTTTCCTTTTGTTCACTTTACGAACATAGGTACAGAATTTTACCCCATAAAAAATGAGGGACAAGAAATTAACACTACTAAGCATCAGCACTTGCCCTTAATACAAATAGAAACAGGAAAATTCACACCTTGCCTAGCTTACCCCGAATGGCATCTCTCATGGACTCGTCGCTGACCCAGCGGTCGACCGGAGTCGTAATCACCACGTCCTGAAGCATCATCCCCTTCACGCACGACACGCTCGCGTGTTGGACCACCAGCCGCAATTCCTTGAGCACGTCCATCAACCTCGCGCACGGATGCCCCACATTCGGGCTCCACACTCGGACCACCGCCTCCCGCCCCACCACCGTCACCTCGACTGCCATCTCTCTTGGCCCCGAGACGGCCAACGCCCTTGCGGACGTTGTCGAGCTGTTCTTGCTCGACGGTGGCGTCGCCTCATTCATGTCAGCAGCGGCCCAATTACTCCTGAGGCACTTCGGAGACGACGGCTCGGTCTTGACGAGCTTGGACTCCAACGCGTCGATTTGGGACCGGAGTTCCTTGATGTAGTCAACGGCATCGGCGAGGAGGGACGCCTTGTCCATCCTCGACACATTGGGGACGATGGATCGGAGTGCGTAGAACCGCTGGTTCATCTTCTCCCTCCGCTGCCGCTCTGCCTCCACGTGGCTTAACGGGCTGGACGGTGACGGCAACAACGAGAATTCATTATCTTGGTCGTGGACTATTTCCTTCCTACTGCTATTCTTAGATATGCTATGGTATGCGGTGCAGACAGGTTTAGCAAATGGACGCTTGCCGGCACTGACAAGTGCCGGTTCTTTAGCATCGCTGGGTTGGTTCTCTCTAGGAGGATCGACTCGAAGGTTCGAGAATTGAGAAGGGAAGAGGCACTTAGCTGAATGAACTAAACTCCAGTCTTCTTTTATGATCTCTGAGGAGCCCAATTCAAGTACTCCGGAACCATTAGGGATTGATATCCACGCCATGCTCTTGATTCCATACATTCTTGCTTCTTTGACCCTCTCATCACACCCATACATCTCTAGCTCATGGTGGTCTTCACCGCTCAACCAGATGTGACCTCCTGAGCGAAATGCTCTTCCCAGAATGCCATCTTCGGATGAATACGACCTGGTGACCGAGAATATGTAGTACCATTCAGGGTCGCCGATGTCGCCACTGTGAGCGAGCTTACCATCCAGATTCTGGGCTTCTTCGAGCACTATTTTGGTGGCGGGTTTAGATGCGAATGGGTCTCTTGTAGTTCCTCGGAAATGGCCGTCGCCCCAGGTGAGGACGAGACCGCCGTGTTCGTCTCTTGAGGCCCGCCAAAAGATGGAGTAAACCCACTCCTCAGTTCGGGTTTGGAGGATCAAGTGGACGAGTTGCTGGAAAGTGGGTGACGCTTTATGATAACAAGGGACAACTAAGGAGGACGCACAAGATGTGAGTTCTCCCATGAGTAGCAAGTTATTAAGATAGATCAGGATTTCTCCCTTTTATAAGAAGTTAGGGCAAAGCTCTACATAATTGGTACATTAAGCGATGTGGATGGTCGTAACTGTGCTATTACATGAATTGGCCGTATTCAACATACAGTAACAGTTTGACCTATTACTTAGTGTACGAATTTTGTAGGCCAATATTAATATACTTTGCATTATCTTATAAAGTTCTAAATAATGCTAGAGATGCTAAAATCCGCAATATCAATATACTAAGTGAGGTAACGGACTAGAAGTTGAAATTTAATCAAGTGGGTAATATTCAAAACTTGTCAATAATATGTTATAATATAGTATACCAACTCTATGTACCGGTAGGCTCCGATTAATTCTTCAAAAATCAACAATGAAATAAATACTCTATCGTTTGTATTCCTCGGGAAAGTGAATCAATGAAAAGTGTTTTCATCGTCGGCAAAAACTTTAGACATAGTATTCCATTGATAACAAAAACATTCTCAGTTACTCATATTTTTAGCAATACAAATGGTGGAAAAATGAGAAGATAAGTCTCATTATTTCTATTACGCATCTTGTGCCTCTCTATCTATCTCTGAGCACGGAGGTTGGGACTCGACACTATGGAGGTCATGACTTTTAGATTTGGGGTCGCTTGCCTTGGACAGCGGCCTGCATGGTCGTGGTGGTGGGCTTCGATGTTTCTCAATTTTTGTAAGCGATATAAGTAATTATTTTTTTTTAAATATTTTCTATATCACTTGTTTTTCGCTTAATAAATAAAGTCTAAGATTTAGTAGGATCGATAAGGTTTGAGAAGCAATTAAACACGTTCGAAACTTTTTCGCGTCATTCATTCTGTACCCCCGCGTTTCAATCATTGTACCAAGAGCTTTAGGACAAGATTTTGTTTTCTTTTGGTGTGATGTGAACTGCGCTCTACGAAAGTCACAATGATCTAAACATGTGAAAATGAACCTATCTCACTCACCCTGACCCCGATGATGCATTGCATTCGCCTTGTTTCGCCTCATTCACTGTGGATTGATTCCGACCCCGTCCCCATCAGTCCCTCCAATAATTTCATCCATGTCTCTTGTAATTTCTTCTCCGGATCGTATTTCCTTAGGCCGATCAACTTCGAGTTTCGGGTTTTTGGTTTCTTCCACGAAAAATCGATAGAGCTAATGTGCTCATTATAGTTATCAGATTATGGGGCCAAAGTACAGCATATTCAAGAGATGGAGGCTAATCCTCTTCGTCACTGGACTAGACCAGATGGAGACGTGAAAGTCCACGTGTGGAAGGTGTGATCGAGAGTGACATTTGTCGCAGGTTTTTGGTCTTGTGGACCAACAGTTGTTCTAGCGGGACACAACCCTACGCAAGTTCTTTTCGTTTCTCACGTTTTGTTTCCTGTCTGAGTTACAAGAGTTCTTTTATGCCATCTTAAGATACCGAGATGGTTAATCGAGTTGGTTGTGACTTACTTTTGAGTGATTTGAGTCATTATGGTCATAGATTCGAATCCCCAAATCGCACCTCAATTTATAGAAATCCTAGTTCGTTTGTGATGTAGATTCAGCTTGGGTAGCAGGTGTAAGGATCACTCCTCCTTTAATCCAAATCACATCTAGTAATGCGGCGACAGGCTTGTTCAAAATGAGTAATAATTATGACTCAAATCAAATACTATGATCCAGAATATAAAAATCTTATAGTAATGCCTAAGGAGAATTGTTGACTGATCACGGCTTCTCACTCTTTTAACATTTAAAAGAAAAAATTATGGTATCTTCGGAAAAGGAGGAAAAATGGGGGATGGAAATTTAGATAGAAATGTGAAAACAGGAAGGAGAGAAATTTTGAATTTCATGATATCTTCTCTCCTCTTTCCTCTCCCCTCCTCCATCCAAAGAATCTAACTATTAGGTTCCGTTCGTTTTGCGAAAAATGTGACGTTTTTGGAAAATTACCAAAAAATTCTAACTTTTTACTTATTTTTATTTTTCTAATTATTTTTATTTTTATTTTTTTCCGTTTCTTTTGCTTCTTCCTCAGCTGATCATCGACCACGGTGGGCGAGCTGGGTGAGGGTCGAGACTTGCCCGAGGTCGCCAAAGGTCAGCGAGGCCACAACTCACTCGAGGCCAGTTGGGCAAACTGGGTGAGGATCGAGCCTCGCTTGAGGTCGCCAAAGGTTGGTGAGGCTCTAGCAACCTTAGGTGAGCTCGACCTCATTACCGTCATAGGCCGGCGAGGCTCAACCTCACCAGAATATGGCAAGCTTAGGCCTCGTCGGTCTGTGGCGACGCTCGAGCTCGCCTGTGATCGGTCGCAGGCTAAGGAAGAAGAAAAAGAAAAATAAAAATTTTTTAAAATAATAATTAAAAAAAAATTAAAAACTCAAAATAAAAGGAAAATGTGTTTGATGAAAGAAAATGCTTGGTCTAGAGGTGAAAGAAAGAGGATAGAAAATGTTTTCCCCTTTATGAAAAGCGGAAAACATTTTTTCTACCTTTGAATGTGTTTTTTCCATTTGCAGACAATGTTTTCTTTAACTAGTTTATTTTTTGTGAACCGAACGCTGGAAAATTTCAAAAAACGTTTTCCTTAAAGTTGTTTTTCCATGAAATAAACGGAGCCTTAGTTTTGGCCATGACTTCTTTTAGATTCGGTGTTTCCCAATTTTTCTAAGAGATACAAAATATTAAGTTGTAAATAAACATCGCATTTATATTCTTGTTTGCCCAATTTCTTCACTTTTCTTACGCAATTATCTCAAAAATGTATATTTTCTTTTACACACTTGGGAAAATTTTCTTCATCAACGCGACACAACATCATATTGCAATATGATCCTGTCAAGTTAAGTTGTTACGCATTTAATCCTCGATTTCTCATACGTACTATTGAGAATTCAAAGTAAAATATAACAAGACTAAACGCAAGATACTATATGAGAGCACAAGTTGATCTTATCTAAACTAGCAAAATTGAGTTAAAGTTAAATCTTCTATGCCGTCCTAAGTGGTACAAAAGAGGAAGAAGATCTATGGGAACCTATACTAGGGGTGATCGGTTCTCGGTCTAATCCGGTTCCAAGGCGGAACTGGGAACCGGACCGGAAGGACCAGTTCCCAATTTTGAGAACCGGGGACCGGACCGGTTGGTCCTAGGATCGGGAATCGAACCGGACCTCTGGTCCAATGGAACCGGTCACCTTTTTATTTTTTCCCACTAGAACGAGAGAGAGCAACAAATCTCAACATATTGACGAAAACAACGATGAGTGAAGAATCATTGTGACGCGACGATAAGAGGAAAACGTTGTACGTGGGTTTAGTTCCCCCTGGAATAGGGAACTGGACTGCCTGGACACCAGTTCCACCTTTAGGAACCGGAAACCGGACCAACACTCCTGGAAACAGATCTGGTATGAGCAGTTCTTGGTCCAGGTAGTTCATTTTGCACATCCCTAACCTGTATCATCATGATGTGGTGCTCGCCTTATTCGTTTGGTCAATGCTTGGTTAATTCACGACTTTTGATGTTAGATTTCACGCTGTAAAACTTGAAATTGTTGACTTCCATGTACAAATTTTGACTCAAATGCGAGGAAAGTTGGGAGAGGGAAGAAAAGTTTCCTTTATAAATTTGGATTCTAAAATCTAGAAGCAGAACAAAACTCCTTTGATTGGAAAACGGAGTGTCGGAATAGATACCACTTATAGAATGGACGGTGAAGGAAACTGAGTAGCGCAATAGGAGAAAATCTGAACCAATCATGTAGGGAAAGACCAAATATCGACAAGAATTTCAATATTCCTATTCAATATCTGGTCACTTGAAAACTTAAGGGAATTGTTGTCTCGTAAATGCTTATTAGAAAAAAGCACACGTATTGCATGTGCAGAGAATTAGTGAAAAGATTAAATTAGTAATAGGAATGAGATAATTCGTAAAGATTTCGGCCCGTTTGTATAGTTTGAATCGTTGTAAAAGGGTAGATTATAGATTTGTGGAGTACTCTGCACTTAATTTTCATCCAAATATGGAAAGCAAGAGATTCATTGGTTACTTGCCAAAGATCTTGATTATCTTAAATTACGATTTCGTTCATCTATAGTGTTGTCCGGTCGTAATGCGTTTTAAATGTATGCATGTGTTTTTCATTTAACTGTTTTTTTTATTTTATAAAAGTTTGAGATTAAAGTGACCAACTGGGTCTACTTAATTGATAGTGTAGATATGTGATCTCAAAAGAATCATGATAGGGAAAATTAAATCTTAATAGGTAGAATACGATTAATATGGCCAAATTTTTACTAAAGATTAGTCCTTTAATAAATGAATAAACTTGAAAATGTGGAGCCACTTAGGGAGTGTGATGTTCATGCTAGCAATAAGCTCATCATGAGGTTCTATAGCCAAGTGCAAGGTATCTCTATCTATATCCAGATATGAACCCAATCAAGATTGGTCTTATCCTCTCTTAAGATCCTAACCCTCTCTTGTTTCCTTTTAAGCATTGAAGAGATCCCTAAGGACAAATGCTGAGAAAACTTTTTTTGCTCTTCCAGGTGCAGATTACAGACTATGGAGTCCGTGAATCAACAAGCGTAGACCTTTAAAACCCATGCCTCAACAGTATCAAAGTTATAGTTGTTAAAAAGATAGTTAATAACACTGATTAGTTATTTCAACTTAGAACTTAATCAGCCACACAATGAATCATGTTAATAGTGGGTCACTTCGTACGACTATCCCCTTTCAAAAACATGGACACCCAAAGTGTGAAGGATCATCGTCAATGATCAATCATTTGTCCTGAACGGGTTTGGAGAGAGGTTTGTTTTATTACTGCACACATTATCAACCGTGCTCCGTTACCTATCATAAATAAAATTTACTCTTATGTGCGCTTGTAAAGTATTGTTCCTAATTAGAGTCTTCTTCAAGTCTTTAGTGCTTGTTTGTACATTTTCTTCCACATGAATGCACGAAATGTAGTGACTAACAATTCTACCTTGTGACATTAAGAATTTCGACCCATTTTTTGAGATTTATAAAACTTGTATT